GAAACACACCTTTAAAATGTTGCTAGAATTTACTTAACTACTTTGGTTTGTAAACTCCTCAAGCAAAATGTTTGATCTTACTTTGGTGTTTATTACAATATCTTATATATAACTGTTTGTGTGTGTTCGAAGGAGAAAACTAACGGAGAGGTAAAACATCTGTTTCTCACACTTGTAACAGTTACGTTGGTTTATTTTAGTTCTTTTTGGTGTGCTAGTGTACAGTTTATAGTTTATTTTTTTATAATTATAATTTGTGTAAGTTCTTCTGAATCAATGATACAGGAAAACTTTTAATGTAGGTGGGTACTCGAAACTGACAATCCCAGCTTTACTTTCTTTAGATCTATATGTTGTACAATGCAGCAATATCATTGGTCCACTTAATTTAAGTTCTGATCTAAGCTTTTTAAAGTCATGCTTCTCTTCAGACTTTACATCAATTTTTTGTAGGTCAAGGTCATTCTTAAAGGTCAACTGTTGAAAAAGTATATTTTATTTTACTCAATTGCATCATGGTTACTGTACATATCCAATAAGCAGAAAGTGTCCACAATCTGCATTCACGACAAATGTTTAATCTACATAAGTCAAGGTCATACTTTATAGCTTTGTAGTTTACACTTAGACATATGACATTATAATTATATTTATTCATTTTACAAAAGTAAAAATTGTCCAAAGTCAAAGAGCAAAGGTCAAGGTCAAACTGGTATTATAAGAAAAAGGGACATGAATAAGTAAAATTCAGCTGACAGGTAGAGACTAATGGCCTCCCAACCTTTTTTAAAATTTTGTTTGTTATTATAATTTTGTGGAAGTACTAATATTGCTTTTATGTTTCAGCAAGAGTTTGAACGTCAAATTTAATATAATATTTTTGAGCTAATTTCAGCTAAAGTAACTTTAGTATGCTTTATGTTGCCAGGCACTTTATTTGAAATAACATTGTCATTGCTATTCTGCATGTTTTGATTTAAATGCTATTTTTTTTTTTGCTTTTAATGGAATGGTATAAATAAATTCTCACACAAAAGATGTTCCTTGTTGGGTTTTTTTATGTTTTCATGCATGTGAAGATAGTTTGCTAATTTCAGTTAAGGTGTAGGCACCAAGTTCAATAGAAAATATCGCAAAATCTTTAGTTAAATTGCAATTTACACATATGTTAATATTTTACCAGAAAAAAAAGTTGATAATAAAAAGTGAAAAAGTTTTAAGTATTTATTTATTTTTGTATTGACAAACAATGCAAGATAATTAAGGGATCTTCACAAGTTAAAGTTTTAATAAAGATAGGGGCAAGCTTAAATCATTTAACTTAAATTAGGCATGAAGTAAGTTCACTATAGCTATATCCGTCACCAACAAAGTAATTTTATGTACATGTAATTAAATTTGAAAAAAAAAAAGAGAGTAAAATTTCATTTTAAATTTCATTGTGACGTATCTTTCAAGAACATAAATTTATTTTCAATGAATGAAATTGTTATGATTATATTAACAGATCACGCCAAGACGTCCACCAAGACCGGAGAGTGAAAAGGAACGTAGGAACAGCCAGCGTCTGAGCGCACAGTTCACACACATGGGTCACCTTCCAGGTGCTTCACCAGGCATGATATCTCTACCTAATACAACTGCTTCATTTATATCGTATACCTCCACAGGCATGTAAATTCTTCACACTCTATATCTGTTCTTCTATTGGGAAGAGGCATAGCAGCTTCTGTTTGGCCATATTACCAGGGAACAATAAAACGTCTGTTGGGAAAATGCAATGTCCATTTAATGAATTAGATAGTTCTTTTTAAAATATAATACTTTACTCCATATGTGTAATAGATCTTCTGATCAGTGAAAACAGCATTAATATCTACAGACTAATTTAGATGTATAGGTATGTGTTTATCAGATCTGTCAACCAGATCTTTATTAGATCTGTCAACCAGATCTTTGACATGTCAAATGCCATTCATTCTCCACCATTATTTTTAGCTTGACTATTCATTGAATAGTAAGAGCTGTTGTACTTACCTTGGCCTTGGAATTGTCTGCAGTTTGGTTAAGTTATTGCATGCAAGTTGGTAACCCCTGAACTACTGAAGTGAAAAGGTTGAAACTTCACATACTTATGATTATCTAATATGATTGGCACAGGTCCTATAACTCTGGGTTACATTTACTATTACTAAGTTATGTCCCTTTTCTTACTGTCAAGCACTGATAATTGTTGAGCGCACTGTCTTACCAACAGCTATTGTTAATTCATTTACAAGTTAGTACTGGTATTAATTGTAGAAACTCTTGCTAGCATACTTTTTTCCTCATTTAGGGAGGAGAAATACTGTCAAAGTGGTAACAAAATACATCAGGGATGGGACAAGAGAAGAGCAAACTATGGAAACCCCTTTGAAAAAAACTTCTGATTTATTAATGCAGAAACTGCTATGCCTCTGTCAGATTAAAATATTGTATATGAGACATACAAAGAATTGTTTTAATCCAAATAGAAATTTTGTCTTATTTTGACTACACGTTGCAAAATTTTCCCCTTTTTAGCTCACCTGTCACAAAGTGACAGGGTGAGCTTTTGTGATCGCTTTTCGTCTGGAGTCCGTCCGTAGTCCGTCCGTAAACTTTTACTTTAAATGACATCTTCTCATAAACCACTAAGCCAATTTCATCCAAACTTCACAGGAATGTTTTTTTGGTGGTCACCTTTAAAATTGTTCAAAGAATTTAATTCCATGCAGAACTCTGGTTGCCATGGCAACCGAAAGAAAAAACTTTAAATATCTTCTTTTAAAAAACCCAAAGAGCTAGAGCTTAGATATTTGGCATGAAACATTTTCTAGTGAGTGTCTACCAAGTTTGTTCAAATAAAAGCCCTGGGGTCAAAATTGGCCCCGCCCCAGGGGGTCATTGATTTTCCCTATATGCATATAGTAAAAACTTAAAAAATCTTCTTTTAAAGAACCCAATGAGCGAGAGCTAAGATATTTAGCATGAAACATCTTCTCATGAGTGTCAATATTGGCCCCGCCCCAGGGGGTCATTGATTATCCTTATATGTGTATAGCAAAAACTTAAAAAATCTTCTTTGAAAAAAACCAAATAGCTAGAGTTTAGATATTAAGCATGAAACATCTAGTGAGTGTCTACAAAGTTTGTTCAAATAAAAGCCCTGGGGTCAAAATTGGCCCCACCCCAGGGGGTCATTGATTTTCCTTATATGTGTATAGCAAAAACTTAAAAAAATCTTCATTGAAAAAACCCAAATAGCTAAAGTTTAGAAATTAAGCATGAAACATCTTTTAGTAAGTGTCTACAAAGTTTGTTCAAATAAAAGCCCTGGGGTCAAAACTGGTGCGGGCCCAGGGGTGTCATTGTTTGTAACTATATGTTTTAGTAAAAACTTAAAAAATCTTCTTTTAAAAAACCCAATGAGCTAGAGCTTAGACGTTAAGCATCAAACATCTTATTGGTGTTTACCAAATTTGTTCAAATAAAAGCCCTTTGGTTAAAATTGGCCCTGCAAGGTGGGGGGGGGGGAGAGGTCATTGGTTTTTCATTATATGTGTGTAGTAAAACCTTAACATCATGAAACATATCTTCTAATGGGTGTCTTCCAAGTTTGTTCAAATAAAAGCCCTGGGGTTTAAACTGGCCTATATACAGGTGAGCGACCTCAGGGCCATCATGGCCCTCTTGTTTATTATAGCTACATGCCTCCAGATGAGTCAAACTATTTCAAAACAATCAAACTTTAGAAAAATGTAAGGAAAAGAAAAAAGTTTCAAGATTCAAGTAATATTCTACATATTATATGCAATTAATGACTGATTTTTCAGTATTTACAACTATATTTCTTCTGCATTACTAAAGCAGTAAAGGCCATTTATGCATATTTTGACCACTTTTTGGCAATTTACGTGGTTTGTAAGTGCCATTGATAATGTGTAAATTGCTTCCTTTTGATTACTTCACAATATTACAAATTCAAATACATCTTCAAAATTTTCATGAAAAGTAACATGAATCTGGAGGCGTGCTGCTTTAAAAAGTTTTTATTGTCACTAGTAATTTTTTTTTACAACTTTAGCTTTATTGTGTGATTTTTAGAAAAATATCCGATATATTTTTTTTTCATACAGGAATTGATGTATGTCTAATTAACAATATTTAATCTGTGAAAGTCATCTTCTATCTGTCTTTGAATACACAATTCAATGTGACATTGTCGTAACTCTTTTTCTTTCTTGCAGAGAAATGTGAATTTTTTGACATTAAATGTTTTACATTGACTATGTAAGCTACTATATGCAGTGTAAATTGTCTTTTATTTATGTGCAAAAATGTATTTTGAACAAAATAATTGTTTGATATTATTTATTTATTTCTTCGTTCAGTTGTTCTGTAACTTATTTTTATTGATATTGCTCTCAAAATATTTATTGTTTAAACCTTTCTAGCTACAGTGTATTTTGCATGAATAGGCATGCAAGTTAAGCATTGTTTTGAAGTTTTAGTTATACATTAATTATGGCACAGAAGAAAAGCACTGCACTGCATTGGATTGTTTGATACCTTAAATTTAAAAATCAAAAAATAGTATTAGTAGTATGCAATTACAAATAGGTGATATTTACTTTTGGATGATAAACATTTTCTGTCAGAATGAATGATATAATTGTGTGTTTATAAGACAATGTTATAATCATAACTTACTGCCCATTTAAGAAACCTGATACTGTATGGTTGCAAAAAAAATAACTGCAATAAACTTGCATACCAAAAATAAAAAAAAAAAACAACAACAGATTTTATATTATCTATAGATATAATCAATCATTTTCATATATATCTTCTTTTCATGTCCCTCACTGCTGTGAATTGCAATCACAGCATGAAATTTTTTCGTGCGAAGAAGCTATCCAGCTGTCAAAGAAGAAATATGTGGTTTTACTTGTGTGTCTTTTTGTACCTGAAATAATGTACAAGTGGTTAACTGGAGATCTTCCTCCGCAATCGAAGCTGAAAATTTGCCATATTACTTACAGTGTTGGTGCAACATAAAACTCTACCAAAATATATAAATAGAATTAGTGATTCTATCATCAATTAACTGATTTTAAGATTAATTTTATTATTAAGTTTGAAGTCAGTTACAAGGTGGAAGGAACTAAATTGTATTATTATCTTAACTTGTATACACTTACTAAAATCTTGTCACTTACATACATTATCTATCTGAATTATAAAACACATCTATGTATATATACAATATATTTATAGTAAACAAATTTTAAAAAACCCTCTTATTTCTTGGTGAAAATTTCCTAATAATGGTTTGTACTGTTTCCTATTAATTTAGCACTGATTTTGAATTTTCCCTAAATATGATGAATGGTTTTGTCCAGAATGAAAGATGGACAAGTCCATGTATGATATGTAGTGTGGTAAAGGTTGATTGTCATGACAATTTAGTGTGTGGCAGTTCTGCCTCAGCTGAATTATAAGGATAAGAAATTGTGGGAACATTGTATGAAAGTTATTCCTACAGTTTGTAACAGTTGTGTTGATTGTGCCCAAGAGCCCGTTATTTAAGACTAGTGTTAATTTGTATCACTTGACTTGATTGTGCCCAAGAGCCCGTTATTTAAGACTAGTGTTAATTTGTATCACTTGACTTGATTGTGCCCAAGAGCCCGTTATTTAAGACTAGTGTTAGTTTGTATCACTTGTGTTGATTGTGCCCAAGAGCCCGTTATTTAAGACTAGTGTTAATTTGTATCACTTGACTTGATTGTGCCCAAGAGCTCGTTATTTAAGACTAGTGTTAGTTTGTATCACTTGTGTTGATTGTGTAAAATTGAGCCCGTAAGACTGGTGTGAATATAACTTTACACAATGGACGCATGAGAAATAAAATCCACCAGGATAACACACTTGTATTCTGTATAAACTATGTCATCTTGACTCTTGATATGACTAGAATCTGCTGATACCCATTGAAGAAAACAGTTAAATAACTGTGAAACATCTTATTCTTTGGAAAAAAACAACATGTTTCATGGTGTTGCTACCCTTAACAAATTAATTACTTTTAGTTGCATCAATTAAGATTTGTGTGGTTATGTATACTATATAATAAATGTATCCATTTTTCATATTTTAAAGCATTGGCGTGGAGAATTTTGAAAGGTTTGTACAGTCAATAATTGGTTGTATAGTTGATACTGTCAGTGATCAGAGAAGCATACATGTAGTATACCCGGATATCTAGTCCCTCTTTACATTTACCTCCCCTGAATCTGTGTTATATATGTATCCTGCTCTAAACTTGAACCTATTGAATTGTTAATTAGAGAGTCAGAATTACAATGTTTAATTTTTTATAGCCTAAGGCATAGGCTTGCTCTTGTTCTTGAACTCTGTTACTGCTGGAAAAGTTTAGGCAGTTTTATCCATGCATATCTGTCAGCTACCATATTCATTCTGCAAGGATTAAAAAAAATTCCATTTTCCAATTGGGCAAACAAAAAGCCGTACAATATAATATAGTAATACCACCCCAATGGAGCTGATGTAATAGAAAATACATATAAGTTAACTGAAGTTATGCAAATTGAAAATTCATAATAAAACTTTATTTACCAAAAGGCTCTATGCCTCCAGCCAATTACATGACAAATAATAGAACAGAATAGAACACCTGTGTTAATACATGTGTAAGGAAGAAACAAGAATAAAAATGAGTATTAAAGTAGTGTAATGTTTCACAGAGAAAGGAACATCATCACCCACGCATATGCACATGCATCACATTCTGCAAACTCCCATTATTTTCAGGATTTTCATTGTTAAAATCACTATGTCATCAGGGTGTCAGGGGGCATTTGTATTTTATGTGCCAGCATTTGCATTATGTTGATCTTCTGCTATTTCAATGGCTATGGTCTTGCAAACAAAAACAAAAAGGAAGGAAAAGATAAATTAAGATAAATTAAGGAATTTACGGCACACAATTAATTTGTTTTAGTCATCAGAATTGCATTATATTTCCTTTTCATTCTGAAATATAATTTTATGCTATCACAGCATTTTATGTTGTCTTTACTTTTCTTTGTTTACCTCATAGTGGCTCTTTGGCAAAGTGGTTAAGGTCCTTGAATTTGTGTCACCTACCTCAGTAGGTTTTTAATCTTGCCTGAGTTTTTTTGGTAATTTTCACTAGACTGAGTTTTTAGGCTAGCCTTTTGATTTATTATGGCTACCCAGGTGCTATCTGATACTTGAAATAGATGTTACTGGAGGATACCTAGGGTGTTCCTTCATATAGAAAGCTTAAAGGGTAGTGGTGGCCTAATGGTTTAGGTGTCTGCCTGTCAACCCAAGGATCATGGGCTCAAACCTTACTTAGGTATGGACCAGGTTTCTTCATATGACACCAGGACTGGTTAGTTACAGGAAGAGGACTCAACAGTGGATTAAACAAGCTTCAAGCTTTCATACCATTCCAGCTAAAATGAAATATCTTAAAACTTAAAAGCTACAATACATTGTCATAGTATGATTTTAACCATTCCATCATCTTTTATATTTATTATGTTATTATGCATAGTTTTTGACTTTTATTCCGTTTTTAAATCATTACTTTATTTTCGTTAAAAAGATATAATTAAAAATGTTGTTTATAGATATTTAGAAATTTGTTTACGATGTTGGTTATATAACTTCATTAAACTAAGGATACAAAATAGCTCAAGTAAATAATTGTATGATTTTACCATTACAGAGAATTGTGACTCGGGAGATGATGACGGGCCGCCACCTCTACCAGTGAAACATTCCGAAAACAGCAAGCTGAGCTTTGACGCCCCACCACTTCCTTCCCGCCAGTCCCTCACTCCAACAAAAACTCCTCGCAAGTCTAAGGTGGGTTTCTTTGACAGATGGATGCCTCGATTATCAGTATCACATCAGTCCTCTCCCTTTCTTCAGGGTGGCGATAAGATGGGGTCAGATCCTGATCTCTCCTCACCAAAATAAATGTTACACACAAGTTGTCCCCCTTAGCTTCTGGAGGATGACATAAAAATGTTGTATTTTTATAGTGCCTCACTGGAATATCTCTTCATGATAACCATTTGATGCAATTTATAGAATCTAAATACCAATGTTAATGTTCTTGAGGGTGGAGTCACTGGCATATCTATACAAGTTAAATCTTCACGCTTGGAACTTATAAAAACAAAGTGTGGCAGTGTTTCAGATGTTGAATTAAAATTTACCGAAACCGCTGTTTCGTAATGTTTAGAAATACAAGAAAATGCATGCTTTAATGTTAGGTAAAATAATTAAGTTTGTCTTTAACAGTTAGTGTGTTCATATTCAGCAATAGTACATTTTCATTAATTTTCATTAATATAGTTTTGTTAGATATAGGAAGAATTCATTTACAAACATGGTTGTTTTAGCTGTAGATGTAATAGAATCAGTATTCATATATGCTATTTGATATATAAGATCTTGAAATCCAAATAAGTAGCATAAATTATCATTCATCACTTCATATCGCTAGCGACAACTGATTTTACCCATGTGAGTCTGTCCAGACCAAGATCTGCGGCACTTTCTGTACTGTCTGATTGTGGTCTGCACTGTTCGCTATTCAGTCAATCTTATTTGTTTGAAATTGAAGATATTTAGCTTGGTAAAAGTTAATACATTTGAACAGTATTTAATACTTATATTAAGTAATATGTGCCAAAAGTTATATCTATACAGTTTTGTCACACAAGGCCTCACCGTGCAATACAATCATGTAAATATTCATATATTTTTTATAAAAAACAATTTTCATATCTTATTTTTGATATCTGATACATTATGTACTTCAGGTTATAATTATTATTTTTTGTAATTTCATTCAGACCTTTATTTAATGACCTGTCTTATGGAAATGGAAATACTAGTCTATGCTGACAGACAGTCTATTGTATTGATAAAATTTCCCGTTGGTTTTGTGCTATTAATTGATCAAAAGAAAGTTGAAAAATTTGCGACATTATTTAGTAAAATCTACAGTAACATGTAACTATGTAACAGAATACAGATATTTTAAAATAATATAGTGTACAGGAGCAATATAAGTTTGCATATTAAGAACTGCCACACCTGTGGGGACAGCTGTTTCATGTTAAAAGCAGTATGCCTCCAGATGAGCCCAAATATTTCAAGAAAATCAAACTTGAGAAAAATGTGATAACTATTTCAGAAAAGTAAAAAGATTCAAGAATCAAGTAAAAATTAACATGGTATGTTCAATTAATGACTCATTTTGCAGCGCTCGGCACCATGTTTCTACTGTGTAACTTTTCGCAGTAACAGCTGTTTTTTTTTTGCTTTTTTTTTTTTTTTGCATACTTTGACCCCTTTTCGGAAATTAATGTCGACTGTAAATGATGTTTGCGATGTGTAAAGTAATATATTTGTTCTCTTCTCAATATTTTACTTTCAAATACATTTTCAAAATTTTGATGAAAATTTGCATGAATCTTGAGGCATGCTCCTTTAAGCTTTTTGCCAAAAAAATAACAGTAATAGGTATTTATATCTATGGAAAAACTTGAAAGAGTGGTAAGACAAACTGTTATAAAATAGTACAATAAAGCTAATATAAACATTTTGACTGGTATTAAAGGTAAGATGGCTAGTATGAAGATATAAGTTTTTCTGAAGGTATACCACCAATCATCAGCTTGCTTATTCTTGGCATATTTCAACAGTATCCAGGTGATTAAATATGCACTGTCTTACAAACATTTTTGGATTTGTAACAAATGCAAAATATTTTGTTATTTTTGGTAATTTGACTTTCAGCCACTGTCTTACAAAAAAAAAAACATCAAGAAAAACAAAATACTGTAGACCACTGAGCAGTCATACATACATAAAGTTGTAAACAAATTTTGACTACTCTTAGTTATAAATGTACATGTTATGTATGGGCACCTTCATGTAAGGTCATCCTTTAGCGGTAAAGCTGGAAAGTAGCCATATGACCTTTGACCTAAAGACCAACAAAACAAAAAAACAATGTTTTGGGATTTTTTTTTACAACAGATAATCAAGTATAAAAATAATAAACATGCCAAACATTATGCAAGCTTCTGATTGATGAATTACCTAAGAGCTTTTTTTCTCTATTCTGTAGCTTGCATGATTTTATATTATATGTACATGTATATATTTAATGAATTAATTATACCTGATATGACATTTAATTGTAATGCATGAAGTTTGTAATATTTAAATATTAAGTGACTTTTTTTCTGTGTACATGCTCAGGCTTTCATGTCAAATGAGGGTATAGGCTGCATTCTAAAATTATTGTTGTATTTTATATGGGAGATAAAGTTTCATTTCCTGAAAACAGCTTTGTTTTTTTTAATGCTTTTCAATGGCTATGACTTGGCATAAGACAATAGAATTGACTATATATATCCCAGGTTCTGTATATATGCTTAATATAAAATTATATTTACTAGTTATTATAAAAAAAAATGTTTCTTAGTCCCTGTCTAACATACTTAATGTGAACTCCTTTATAGTAAAATTTCTGTTAGCATGGGGACTCTGTGGCTAATTGGTTAATGTCTCTGATTTCAAATCACTTACCCCTTGATGCTGTGGGTTCTAATACTTTTCTTCTGTGTGAGGCAGCTATCTAGCTAGGTTTCGAAAGGTTGGTGATTCTACTCGGGTGCCTGCTTGTGCCTGAAATAAAGCACAAAGGGGCTTCCTTTATAAGTAAAGCTGCAGAAAGTTGCTGTATTACATTTATTACTTAGAATCCAACAAAATGAACAAATCTGTAATCATGACTTATATATATTGTAAATTTGAAAAAGAATAAAGATTTTAAAATGAAATCATATGTTACTTAGAGGCAACACATCTTTTGTTGGTAAAGAACAAGGCATTATCTGATGCCTAGAAACTCAACTCAGTTTTGATAATGAAAGCCTGGCAATACAATATAAAGGAACATTATATATTTAACTTTTTAATCTTATTTTCTTGCTCATACTCTTACATTTTCTATGCATATCTTTTCCAGCCATCTGTGAAGGCGTCTCAATCTTTGGAACTGAACTCCAACCCCCTTGAAACTGCCCCACCTCTGTTACCAGAGAAAATCACTCCAAGCCGATCTTTTGATGGTGAAAGTTTGTGATATAACATTATCTTGATAGTATAGTTATGTATATTGTGAATAAGAATGAATTGAAATGCAGGCATTTCACTAGAATAGTTTTATTTGTAGGAGGACTGTAGAAACACATTACACGCCTTAAGTTTTTAAAACTAAAATGCAATCTAATTTAACAAAGGAATATAGATTGTTAAATACATGTAGTTGCTATTATTTGTAATGTCATTTTTTAATGTTAAAATGTAATTTTAACAGTGTTCGGCATTTGTGAAAGTTAATAAATGGGGTTGATAGAAAAATATTTTATTGTGATAAGGGCTTTTTAGTCAGATGTATTTATTTTGACTTTTTGGAATATGATAATTGATCAAAATGTTGTTTGTTCAGAAATGTTTAATTTATGTATGGTATGATGGAATGATTGGAGCATTTTTATCTAATTAGTCTTTGATCATTTAATGTGTAAGGCACTAAAATGGATTCTTCATTGCATGACATCATCAAACTTTTCATAGACTACTGATATAGACGATTTAACTCTTTTAACTGCTGCTAACTATGCTCACCTTTACACATGAACTATTTTATCTTGTTCAGTAAGCTTGATCTTCACATGCTAAGCTTCTTCAAGCTTTTAACCTGATTTTCATTTCCGAGTGTCAAAGATGAACCCTGGCTTTAATTCAAATTTGTGGCATACTATTATTGTGAATTCACTTAATTTCGTGGGCATGAAATTTCGTGGTTTTGTCACAGAATATTTTTGTGGGTTCTTAAATTTGTGGATTGTCTTTTTTTCTAAAAGGTAAAATGTAAATAATGTGGTGCAAAATAATCTTACAGCAGACAAAATAAAATTTTGTTGGATGTTAAATTCGTGGATTGACCTTTCCAAGAGAAGCCCAAAAATTAGTGCCCCACGAAAAATAATGATTTCATAGTACATTTGTACTTGAAATTTGACAGACAAGATAATCAGCTATCAATCTGGGTAATCACTACTGATATGTTAAGCCTGATTCTGTACTAGTGTATTGTGACATTTGCGTTTCTACTTCTGCTTAAAGAGTCAGGTAATAGACAATTCTAAGTGTCCATTATTCTTTTGATAGTAATTGAAACAAAGTTAAGGTATTTTTGTATGAGTTACTGTGTTCATTTAGATTTTGTTATGTGAAATTGCATTTGCAAGTACTGTTCATTTATTTTTTAATGCTAATGAAACTTCACAGATTAAATGTACAGTCATTTAACTGCATTTCTATTGAGGTGCAGATTCTTTTGTACTTTGAGGGGAAAAGAGTAAAAAGTATTTATACTAGTTTATTATTGATTACTTTTTAATATGCTTCTTCATAGAAACAATGCCAGGTTATGTTCAACTTAAGATTTCTGACCAACTTTGACATTCCATATTATACCTAATAATTCACTCCAGCTTGCACAGGGATTTCTGGGATCAAAATACTTTATTGTTTTATCTTTGTTTAATATTTAGAGACAGAACTAAGTCTAATTTCCAAGATACACATATGTTTTTTCAAAGTTTAACTGTATAAAATGTACATCAATTCACTCAGAAAACACAGATTTGAACACTTACAAATTTGTTTACTCAATGGCGAAATGTCAAAAATGTTGAATGTTAACCAGTATCAAAACAGTACAAATGTATTTCATTTTCAATGTCTGCTGAGAACTTTTCAGTCTGATAACCTTTGACCTGTGTGATTGAATGCTAGCTTTCAGCTTTTTCATGTTACGACCAGTTTTCAATTTTCACCAATTAAAGAAACCAATTACTGTATTTCATATGATAATTGAAATGTAAGGATGACATTTAAAGTGTATGTATAGTACATGATGACTTGTTGTATCTAGTCAATGTGTTTATGTGTATACAATAAAATAATGAAATCTATTCAGGTGTGATTGTATGTTTAAGAAGTGACATAGTCTGTTAATATGTGATTACATATGAAAGCTGCCATGAGAAAACAACCATATGAAAGCTGCCACGAGAAAACAACCCTTGACGTCATTTTACAAATGACATCAGCAAAGTTAACGTTGTCTTTGATGTTAAAAAAAGGGAATTACCCTTGAAAACTTAAAGATAAATATGAATAGTTAACAATAAGAAAATTAAAAAAATTAAAATATTTATTTCAAGAACTATAGAATTGTTAATATGTCAATTAAAAAAGGTAAGTGACATTAAAGGGTTGTTTTGTCATACAGGCAGTCAATTATTATAATGGTGTTACACAGTCTGTTTAAAGATGAACTTCCTAGTGTGAGAGGTATGCAGTTTTCTTGAGTCATCACTGAAAAAAAGAACATTTAAAATAAAACAATTTTTTTTTTTGGTGAATTTAAATTCAAAATTGAGATACTTGTTCATTTACATTGGGGATTTAAAGTATTTTAGGATTTTGATGTATGTATGTAATTAGGCATAAATAAGGGTATACTTAGCTGCCAATCTTCTTTTTGTTTTTGTTCATTTGTATATGCTTGACAGTTCTTGTTATAGATTACGAAGGGAGTTAATTATATTAATATTTAGGGTATATTTTTTCAGCAGTAGCTTCCCTTTATTGAGTCAGTTATTTTGTTGTTGTTTTTTTTACATTTTATTTATTTCAGAATTCATAAAAATTGTGCTTGAATGGCATGGAGTGTTTCTAAAATCTCATATTAATTTTGTTTTATGTATCAAACATTTATGTCTATATTTTGTACTTTTTTGTTAAAAAAACTTATATTTCAAAGACATTGTGCAAAGTTTGAACTATTGAAATGCTTTCTTTTCTGTCTTTGAATTATTCATGTCATATTCTGGAATCATTTACATGTATGTATGTTCATTGTTTTTAAAGTAAAGAGGGTATTTTCTAGTTTGTCTTTGTAGAAATGTTTTATGTATTTAAAGTCATATAATGTTTTCCACAGATCTGCAATGTTTTTGTTGTTTGTTTGTTTTGTTTTTTGTGCTTTTTTCATATAAGATAATTATGTGTTGCCTTTTTGCATCAGTCATTGACTTAATTAAAAGAAAATGTGTATTTAGTTTTGGATATATATTTGTAACATAATGTATATTACAATAATACTTGTTAGTATGTACAAGTGTTAATAATGCAATCTCAATTTGTAAAAGAAAGATTATTATAATTCTTAACCATTAACTGGCTGGAACCTAAAGATACAGTAGGCTTAACCATTAGTATAATAGAGCCAGGCCAGCCTGTACATCAGTGCAGACTGACCAGGCTCTCCTGTTAGTTGACCTACTTTTAATGTGGCCTTCAGCTTTTATTATTATTTTATAACAATTCAGTGTTGTTTCAAACTAAGTATTTCAGTAATTCTAAATGGAATAATGCGTCATATCACTGCTAAGTCTACTTCAAAAAAGCATCCGTGAGCTATTTATAACATGTCAGTGACGTTCGTTTCCAAAAATAGAAGATCAGGGAAACAAATCATCTGCTTTACTAATTTAAATATAGAGAGCAGATGATTAGAGGTATTAAGGGGTTTCCTTATTGTCAATGTATTTATTGTAGGCATGCATCATTTTACACCTTATTACTTTTGATTTTACAATTAAATGAAACGATTTACCTTAGGAAAAGCTGAAGGCCGCTTTAAGTTACTAGAATTGATAATTGACAGTTCAAACAAATTCAGTGAACAGCTTGACAAGATCATTCAAGGAATTCAGTAGGTTAAAGGTTAAGTATGAACATGATAAAATTGACACCAAATGTTGTTCATGATGTCATGTTAAAATGATGTTGTTTTTGTTTATTTATAAGGAACACTAGAATTTTAATGAAAACCATTTAAATTTGTTATGATAGTGTATCTTATATATCTATTTTATATACTTTGTACACCAATTATAATAGTGCTTATGTAGTGTATCTGATGGTGTCTTGGCTAATGAGATAAGGCTACTAATATAAAGTGGCTTGACCCATTCTGCTATTGATGCAAACCCGAAAGTGAACAGATTTAGTGCCACATTGTTTTGATGTTTTGAAGATTTTTGAATATCCCACCAAACTTTTTATAATGCAAAGTATCAACTTTCTAAGTTTATATACTAAACATAAAAATGCTTCCATTTCATGAAGTGTGTTGTCTGTATTGTACAAACATCTGCTGCAGTAGATTCCAATGTTGTCTGTTGCACAGATATATACATGTCTTGTGCACTGGTTTGTATAGGTTGTCCGCTGCACAGATAGAATCTATGTACATGTGTATGTGTTTGCTGTACAGATTTGTACCTGTTTTCTTGCATATCAGACAGGATTATCTACCGTTTACACCAGTGTTAGAAAACCCCCTCATGTAAGACAAATCGCGTGCTTCAAATGACGTCATTGCCACGAGACATGTTCATACGCTACTATAAGAAAAAAGAGCGTAATGAGAATATCAGTTTTCGTAATTTCTGTTCTAAAAATAATTGACATGTGATATGCAAGAAAAAGAATCAAACACCGGCTGTTGGTACAGACATGAATATCTAGCTCAAGGGTAACTGTTAAGCGGAAACTTGGCAGAGCCTCGTTACCGCCGTAAACAGTTACCCTCAAGCTAGATATTCAGGTCTGTACCGGTAGCCAGTGTAAGAGTCTAAAAGTCTGCAGCACAGATAGAATCTATGTACGTGTCTGCTGCAGAGATTTGAACAGAATATCTGTTGCACAGATATGTACAATTTCATTTTTCTGCTGAACAGAGATAAACATGTTGTCTGCAGAACATAGATGCACATGCCTGATGCAATGGATCCTTATGTCAACACTTGCTTAGATGTACATTGTTTACTGCTGCGATACATGTACTAGTACAACATTTACTGGTACAACATGTTTGCTACGACTATCAAGTTGTATGTAACTATTTTATGGTGCTTCATGGTGCTTCTCCACACATTCCCTTATTTTCTACTTTTACATGTACATATATTTTAAATCAAACATATTGTTGCTCACTTAGTGTTGTAGGCTTATTTTCTTTGCTGGACTATATTTTTATTCTTAAACACAAAGGAAATTATGTTTCATGGTAGTTAAATGCATACACTTGTTAATTATAAGCAATATTCATTGTTCATTTGAAGAAATACATATTTTGAGAGGTAATGAACCTTTAAGGAAATGAGCTTATTTTCATATAGACAGAATTAAAACTTTGCAGCATCTTAGAAAATGAAAAACAGAAAAAATCTTTAACATACATGTACATGTATTTTTGTTAAGTTCAAGGACAGATAACCCATAATTAAGCCAAGCATGGCCTTATTCTGTCAAGGCATAGTAAAAAAAAACATATTCATTTCTCTCATTTCATGTATAGATGTGCAGACATGAATAAATGTACAATCTGTGTACTTTGTATGTAGTTATGTTTTGTTTAGTTCAAGTTTAAAATTTAATGAAGGGTCTGAGGTAGATGTTATTATCTAAACAGATACCATTTTTAGCTCGACTTTTCTATGAAAAGGGGAGCTATCCTACTCGCCCCGGCGTCGGCGTTGGCGTCACACCTTGGTTAAGTTTTTCGTACCACCCCACTTTATTTCAGAAGTATTACAAGTATGGCTTTGAAACTTACCATACTTGTTCACCATCATAACCTCCATCTACAGACAAGAGTACATAACTCTGTCAAGGTTTTTGACAGAATTATGGCCCTTTTTTGACTTAGAAAGTGTATTGAGCTTGGTTAAGTTTTTTGTACCACCTCACTTTATTTCAAAACCATTGGAGGTATTGCTTTGAAACTGACCATACTTGTTTACCATCACGACCTTCATCAACAGACAAGAGGACATAACTCTGTCAAGGTTTTTGACAGAATTATGCCCCTTTTTGACTTAGAAAATACATTGAATATGGGTAAAATCCACTTATTGCCTTAACCCTTTGAGATATTGCTTTGAAACTTTTAATGCTATTTCACATCATTACCCCCATCTGTACGCAAGAGAAGGTAACTCTGTCAAGGATTTGTTTTAAAAATTAAGGCCTTTTATCGACTTAGAATCTTGGTTAAGTTTTTAGTACCAGTCCACTTTTTGACTGAACTGTTTGAGATATTAATTTGAAAGTTGGAATACTTGTTTACAATCATGATTCCCAAACATGTCCAGGAGAAGGTAATTCTGTCAAAGATTTTATTTGAATTATGGCCCTTAACTGTCAATGTTTTGTATTATAGGCAAGCACTAAAAAACTTAAAAAATCTAAAAAAATTCATTCCTATCCACTTGTTCACTTTACCATAAATTATGTCATAATAAAATAATTCTTCACTAAATATCTTAATGCTCATGGCCATTGTTCACTTTAAAAATACAGAGATTCTTGTATTGCCTTTTACTGCAAAAACTTTTTTTATTGGCAAGCAATAAAAAAGTCGAGCGCGCTGTCTTACGGACAGCTCTTGTTAATATTTCTACTTCTGATGATTTTTAGTATCTTTATGTTAACTGAATAAAGGTAGAATATTTTTATAGGATTATAATTATGATCTTTTGTACTGTGACGCAGCATTAAATAAAAAAGAAATACAAAAAATTAGATTTTTTTTTCAGACATACCTTTCATTAATCAGCCTTTGAAAGGACCTTCAATAGGGAAATAAATCAAATTCAAGGACAGCTAACTGGAAACAAGGTCATGGACCCAAATTGTTTCCTCTTAAATGTTTCTGCTATCATATTTTTAACTTGTGCAAAGTTTGAACAGATCATGTGCGACAGTTTTCATTTTATCTATAGATCTCTTTGAATCTTAAGAAACTAACAGTTATAAGAAATGAGTCTGCTGTTGACATTAGCAAATTTGTTATCTCCCAACATCTAACATAGTACTTCTTTAAATTCAGATACCATAACTAGAAAACCTATGGTTGACAATATTGGTCATTCAAAGTCATTGAAAATACCATAACCACCAACAACACACACACTTTTGCCATAATTTTATAAAATGTATTCAAATCTTGTTTGATACTTGTTTTAGATGTTACATGATATATCTTATTTGTACCTGAAATTATATTCTTACATTTTGATAAAAATAAATGCTGCATCATTATATTGTGTTGCTTTTTCAAAGTTCACTTTCTCTCTCAGATTAGATTAGTTTCTCCGTCAGATTTAGTTCCTCTGTAATATTTTGTCCTCTGTCAAATTTACATTCTCTGTCAGATTTAGTTTATCTGTCAGAGCTGGGACCAACAATATTTAGGGTTATTACCAGGTCTGATTTAGTTCTGATATTCAGTTTCTAATTCATGGATAAATGCCTTCTCTTTTACGTAATATGTAGATTGTCCGCTGAAAGTTTTATTGTAGTATGTTAATGATAAACTTTGTGTTCATACATGGCATCTTTCTATAGACAAAGTTAAAGGTCAGCTGTACATGTCCATTTTATCGGAAGTTTATCCGCAATTATTTAAACTTTTCTCTTCCCGTCGGTACGTGCACGTCGTAGAAAGGGCACCGACAGGAGATTTTGAGCTTGGCTGAATTTTTCACCAGGGACACGTTGACTGGTATCTGAGCTGCGCCCTTTGAAGGCAAAAACAGCCCTTCATTACTTGTTACTTTATATTTAGGTGCTCATTGACCTTGTTTCGGCTCAAAATTCATTAGTTGGAAATATTATCACAAGTTTGTGCTACAAAGTGAAATATTTTAAAGGCATGTCTGATGACATGTTCGGGGTCCGTACTCGATCGCGAAAACTGCTTTTTGTGTCCTAACGGACGGATGAACTCTCATAAAGCATAGACTACATACATGCATGCACTAGTTACATTTAGAACTGAAATTATTCTCGAATGAGTTAAAAAAATTAAGAACGCATGAACTCGCCAGTTTAATTATATAAATTGCATCGAAACATTGACAATTGCATTACTATAAAAAAAAATTGTTGAAAATTTAGGGAGCCTTTTGTGTCCGTTGTCGAATGTACGTCTTTTGTCAAATATCATGCATTTCTAATGAAACTGTAGGCGGAGCTACTTATGCAATCACGTTAAACTTACGTTAACGGTATCCTCTATGTAATAGAAAGAGCGCTAGCGCTATCTGATTTGTACGAGGGGGCGTAGCCCCCGAGTATTAATCAGATTGCCGAGTGTTTTGATGTTCTTTCTCTTTTGTATCATAGTCAAAACAATATGAAACCACGGGAAAAAGTAACCAATGAACGAGCATCTGAATATGATATTTCTGTCGCTTTCCCTTTCTCTTCCGTCAAAATAAGTAAACCCCAGCAAAAATGAGCCAATCAATGGGCATGCTCTTGAGTGCGGGTAACTAATACCTGCACTCCAGTTAATGCACTGTGCATGTATACGATTTAACTCTGACACATTTTCAACAGAAAGGTCCTTAAACTATGATACAATGTATGTTTCTAGGACCAAAATTTGATATATTCAAAGGGGTTATTTGAATTTTTAAGTGACAATTTTAGAACTTGTTACTTTTACGTTTCCGTCTTTTTTGCAATATTCCAATTCCAATATTTAACTTCCAATTAAATATCATTGATCATTATCAACTTATCATATAACATAGTTCATAACTATATATATTAAAGAATAATAACACCTGTAAACTATTTTATTTTCAAAATTGTTTTAATTCTTTTTTGTAACTGACTGGTTTTGCGGCGCGGCTTGAATTACACGTGGAAATTGACACAATTATACGTCAAGATAAATATTTAATTCTGTTACTTTATTCCAAAATTTTCCCTTAGAACGTTATTTTCATGTAAAATTTATACATGTATATCTCTAATAGATTTGTTTTGAATGACCTGTTAGATATACTGAAAAGAGCCAAACCTTTAAGGGACATACCGTAATTATGATATTGAGCCAACATAGCCATTCTTGTTTTCTTCATTCTGTCATTGTGTGATAGAAATTATACAATTTTGGCTTATGAAAAAGATCATAATTAGCTCCTTTTATAAAGGGAAAAGTGTCACATTGAACATCAGCATGTCGACATTGATTGAAATGTTTGAAGAAATACCAGCCAATACAATTATCTTGTCACTTAGTGTTACATTAAAATGTCGATAAAGAATGACTTAAATCATATATTTTACATATATCAACATGTCACAAAGACAATAAGGTATTCTAACACGACCCGCATTTTTCCCTATTGAACATAGAAGAACCGAAAGTGTGTGTTATTTTGCTATAAAATCACTGTTTGACGTTCTATATTTAGACATGTGACGTAATCATTATACACGTGACGTAACCACTAAAATGTGACGCGCTGACAATAAGTACGGAAACAAATCAGACGCAATTTAGCTAATTATCATGTACGGTAGCATTTATTTGTTGATGTCGTGTTAGAATCGAAATAATATATCCAAATCGATGATTTTATTGCTTGATAACATCACTGTTTGTCGTTCGGATGCGCATCATTATATCACTCGGGCTACGCCCTCGTGATATAATTCCCCGCATCCGAACTCCAAACAGTGATGTTATTGAGCAATAAAATCACAGTTTGGGATATATTATTTCTTAAATAAAATTATAACATTTTATATCATTTTACTTATAAATGAATTTCGAATTTCAAATGTCTCTTTCATGTTAATTTACACAGTATAACAATACCGTTATTATTTGAAGAAGTAAGCACATTATGGATAAACACAGATGGGTTGGCATAAAAAACCAAAAACGTTTAATATATTTATTTCTTATCTGTGAGTAACAATGGCATATAGAAACATAGTGAAATTCATGTTACAACATACACAATAACGCTTATATAATGAAGGTAAATTATTTCGCGCATGTGAAAATTAGACAATTAACTTAGTTTCTAAGGATAAATTAATTTTAAACGGCAGAAGTATGATTCATACTTTTAACGACAAAAGTATGATCTTTGCTTTTAACTACAGAAGTATGATCTTTGCTTTTAACGACAGAAGTATGATCCTTACTTTTAACGACAAAGTATGATCTATACTTTTAACGACAGAAGTATAATCCTTACTTTTAACGAAAGAAGTATGATCCCGTCTTTTAACGAAAGAAGTATGATCCATACTTTTAACGACAGAAGTATGATCTTTACTTTAAACGACAGAAGTATGACCCATGTTTTTAACGCCAGAAGTATGTTCCTTACTTTTAACAACAAAAGTATGACCCATAGTTTTAACGACAGAAGTATGACCCATGTTTTTTAACGACAGAAGTGTGATCTTTACTTTTAACGACAGAAGTATGACGCCTTCTTTTTACGACAGAAGTACGATCCTTAATTTTAACGACAGAAGTATGACCCATATTACGACAGAAGTATTATCCTTACTTTTAACGACAGAAGTATGATCCTTACTTTTAACGACAGAAGTATGATTCTAACTTTTAACGACATAAGTATGATCCTTACTTTTAACGACAGAAGTATGATCCTTAATTTTAACGACAAACTTATGATCTTTACTTTTAACGACAGAAGTATAATCCTTACTTTTAACGACAGAAGTATGATCCTTACTTTTATCGACATAAGTATGATCCTTACTTTTAACGACAAAGGTATGATCCTTAATTTTAACGACAAATGTATGATCTTTACTTTTAACGACAGGAGTATAATCCTTACTTTTAACGACATAAGTATGATCCTTACTTTAACGACAGAAGTATGATCCTTCATTTTAACGACAAATGTATGATCTTTACTTTTAACGACAGGAGTATAATCCTTACTTTTAACGACAGAAGTATGATCCTTACTTTTAACGACAGAAGAATGATCCTTACTTTTAACGTCAGAAGTATGATCCATACTTTTAACGAAAGATGTATGATCCGTATATCTTTTATATAGGCTTTTCAAACACAATCTTTTGACCTAAATGAGATTTTAAAGCAATAATTAAAGCATTTGCAGTAGTTTTTAAAAAGAAGTCAGAGGAAAAGATTTGTTTCTGACCCCCGTGCATACATGTTTTTGTAGAGGGTGAGAAGAGCATTAACGATCCAAATATCACAGAAAACTGAACAAAGAAGAATGTTTCACGATTTCTCTTCATTTTACCCTTCCATATAAGCCTAACATTTAAGGTTGTGAACAGAATGACATTGTTTAAGTTTTATGCCTGATTTAGCTGGGTTTATTTTTCTTTAAACGGTAACTTGGAAGATTTCACAAATACGAAATAATTAACACGGTGTATGTCCAGTAACGCCGGAATGTGAAAATAACGCACGATTCGTGTAAAACGTAACGCAGAATTGTGAAATTAATGGCGGATACCTGGCAAGATTTCCAACGCGGTAAGTAAACTGGTCAATATTTTTTGTTTAACCAAACTGAAAAAGGAATAGCGCATACGGCTGCGAAGACATTATACTTTATCCCTCATTAAGATTTTTTTTCCACGAAATTACGTTTCGATATCATTCGTGAAAATGGTGGCTCAGTGTAGTTTTGGCTTTTTGTCGACTCTTATTACTACAACATTGCATATAATACCGTATAATTTCAATTTTTGGTAGGCAAGTGACATTTTCTAAAATGCTGGTGACATAGAAAATTGAAAATAAGCTGATAAAATGTGATTCAAGCCGTTTTTATGAGGTAAGGCCAATGCACGTGAATAGTGCTTCGCGGTAACGCCGTGAAATGTGATTTTTTTTCATATATTATACACGGTGATAGGGCGTTTACCACAACTTTTCCGCCCAACGTCAAAATATCATACTTCTGACCGAGACACCGTATATTTCTGGACAAAATTTTAATGGCGGGATAACCAAATTGCAGGTGATAGCTTACAAAATATCTTACTGCTGGACATTGCAAAATTATTCCAATTATTTATGTACTCCATCGAATTTTCGAAACAATTTATCGTTAATCTAGCACAACACAATTCACAAAAAATTACATACTTCAAAGAAATAGTGTTTACAAAAGATCGTGTCTACCTTAACATGACTCGTACTGTCACAAAAACATGAGTTAAAACGACGATGTATTTGTTCTATGACCTTACGAGCTCGTGTATATATTATGGTTAGGCATACATTAAGTTGCATACAAAATTTTGTGTTTCTATTGTAAATTTAAGGGAATATATGTTGTAAAAAGGCCTATTGACTCGATTATTGGAGCACCGTACAACACTGAATTTAAACACCGCATTCTTTTTCCGTTTGACCGATAAATACTGGAACCATTTTCATTTGCACCATACTTTATAAGTATTTAAACTGTTAATTTACCTGCAGTTATGTTATGCTGCTGTTATCATATATTATTTTATGGAAAACTTCTGAAGGTCTGGTCTATGTAAATAATACTAGTTAGATAAATGCAATGGTATCTATATAGATAAGTAAGTCGATAACTTTTCTTTTTTCGTACTTATTCAAACGGATAAACCCAACATGGAAAGATCATTCTTCGATGAGGTTACCAAGCATTGTGTTGTGGAAAGTATTTCTTTCAATAATCATTTCCCAACTGATTCAGATGATTCCGCCGTGCATGTTGCCAAAATTATTTTGTAGGTTAAATCATCGGTTGACATTAAATCGGTTATAGGAATTTTTTTAAATGTAATACATAGATCAGACCTTAAGAAGTTTTCCATAAAATAATATATATGATAACAGCAACATAACATAACTGCAGGTAAATTAACAGTTACTTATAAAGTATGGTGCAAATGAAAACGGTTGCAGTATTTATCGGTCAAACGGAAAAAGAATGCGGTGTTTAAATTCAGTGTTGTACGGTGCTCCAATATTCGAGTCAATAGGCTTTTTTACAACATATATTCCCTTAAATTTACAATAGAAACACACAGTTATGTATGCAACTTGAATGTATGCCTAACCATAATATATACACGAGCTCGTAAGGTCATAGAACAAATACATCGTCGTTTTAACTCATGTTTTTGTGACAGTACGAGTTAAAATTGTTGTACATCACTATAGATGTACTTTAAACGTGAAATAGTATGAAATAATCGCTCATTGCAGTGACGAGTGCGTGTGACGTCACACGTACTGTGTTAAAAATGGCTCCGCCCCTGTCGTTAAATGAATAACGAGTTTTGAAAACGTTGATAAAACTTTGTTTTTTTATTTTATTTCACTCTATAATTTTTCAAGCGAAATAAAGATTATTAAAAGTGAAATAAATGTAAGAATTGCAGAAATCATTATCAGAAAATAGACAAATATCTTTTTTTTCGCCAATTTTCAAATTTTTCATTCATAATCATACATAAATCGGTGTGAAAAGATGAATTAGACCTTTTAAAGTTCATTCCGTTGGGTTAAAAGGCAAGATTTTAGCATTTTATCATTCAAGGACTCGGCCCGGTGAATTTTCGTACTATTTGTTCTATAGTAAATCAGTCAAATTTGAGGCTTAATTCTGGATTCCACTGTTCTTGGTGAATTATATACTGTCTGCAACTTTAAACATTAACACTATCTAAGTCCATTGAGGCCGAAAATATAATAGGTTAGCCATCTACCTTTTTCAGAAATCTTCATTCTGTTGTAACACTGTTTAAATTCACCACTTTAAAAACTCCTGACAGCTGGTGGGTAGTACATCTTTAATCCTTCCACCAACAAATGAGTTCATGGAGAATACACAAAAAACAACTTTTAAAGTCATCATATAACACACAAAAACTACACACATGCAATAAATACACTTTAATTATGACCAATCTAACTAGAGATGACTTTAATTGGGCCATTTCAAAATTTTAAAGAACTACTTTCTAGAGATTTAGCTCAATACAGGATTGGAGCAGTACCGCTAGACGCTTGCAGAAATCATGATCACAAAATAGACAAATATCGTTTTTTTCGCCGATTTTTACTTTTTTCCTTGATTATCGTACTTGATTCGCTGTGAAAAGATGAATTAGACCTGTTAAAATTCATTCCGTTGGGTAAAAAGACAAGATTCTAGCATTTTATCATTCAAGCGCCTTGTCCGGTATATACCGGAATACGGTATTTAGTGTGGTGCTCCAATCCTTTTTTTAGTCACATCCATCTCACTTATTTGTTTACACTGCTGAGTTCAATCGAATGCGAATGCGAAAACGAAAGTAGTATTTATAAAATTCATAAACAGTGCAAATATCAAATTTTCATTGTTGTAATACTGACATTCAATATGTCGAGGGAAATATATCATTGTAATTTTATATATAATAATATTGAAATTAATGAAACTGAAGATAATCTTCTCGCTACCAGTTTCGTTCACTATTTAGACAGGAAAATAGGTGGGTGGGGTTTTAAATGTTATCTTGCAGAGAGGGATTGTTTAGCGGGAAGAAACGTGTTTGATGAACTATTTAGGACAGTGTCAGAGACAGAGAAATGTTTAGTAATTATAACTCCAGACTTCAGGAGAAATTACTGGGCTAAATATTGCAAACAAGCTGCGTTTAAGTACTTGTTACAAGAGGAACACCAACACAAGATGATCCCAATCACGCTTAATATCAATGATATAGGATCACTGAAGGAGTTGAATGTTAATGACCCAATTCATATAAAAGGATCTAATGAAATGGAATGGGGAAGAGAAATAAACGAAATGCGCTGGCAAAAATTGAAAAAGGTAAGTGTGAAATCATGGAAACATATTCAGTCGGAATTTCGATCAAGGTACATGTTACTATTTAGGTAACACATGAAACTGAAATTCTATCCAAAAAAAAAAAATAATAAAGATTTTAAAAAAATCCATAAATATACTGTAAAAAACACTATAGACGTTCTATATAAATTTATATGGATTTTTTAAAAGCGTTATTTATTTATTTTTTTATATATACAATTTCAGGCTCCTGTGCTATAAACCTTTAGATACATAGATTACAAATTATCGCCACTTTATTTATAATTTAGAAACATCTACATGTATCTTACTTCCACAGTAGAGATGTCACACTGTCTATATATCAAATGACATTTCAGCTTAAAAATGATTTAATTACATAAAGTATTTATGAAATATTGGTCTTTTAAAGGGATCCCATTTCTTTCAAAAATCCTATATAAATAAACAAAAACTTGTTACCAAGCTAGTAAAGAAAGTTGATTTCAAAAAGTCACGTGTTTGTGTACAATAGAATGTGTATTTGATCTGTTGATTTCTGGGTTGTCAACAGGAGTATAATATGTGCAAAAATTTAATATTTTTAGATCTGCACATAACTATCTAATATTTTAACACAATTTTCCATAGTTATGGTAAATGGAAGTATGCAATTGGAGATGTCAATAACAAAAGTAATTAGTATTCTTGGCTTCTTCAATATTAAAAAATAAATTCTTTATTTTTAGACTCTTGAAGCACCACATGTAGCTGAAGGTATGTTGGATTCGAATATATGTTGAGAGAATTTTCAGTAGAATCTAGTTCTAGATGTAAATAATATTTCAGTAGTACACGTTTAAGTATAGAAATTATGTCTACTCGTTACTCTATGGATTATTAACCAATTAAAGTGCCTAGTCAAATCGATATCCTAGAAGAGATGCAAACTAATTAGGAATAACTAATTTTATTATGGCTTTCATTAACGCTTTATCATCTCGTGTAGTATATTTTATTTTAGAACGAGGTGACAATCGACTTCGAACAGAGAGACAACAACTGCAGGTAACAGAACCATCTTCAGCAACAAATATGTCAAACATTTCATTATTTCCTACAGGTATTGCTGTTCTCCTATTTGCACTACACAATTTAGTATTTTATACTCGTTAAACTGCAACTTTTAGGTGGATTTGCATTGTGTTTGAGAAGTTTGAGATATAATTTGTAAGCTATCTTAACGTGAACATGGATTATTGTTTTATTTGTCACCATCAAAAACCTTCATTAAATCCGATATTTAAGAAGAGATGCAAACTAAACAGGCATCCCAACTTTACATGGCTTGCATTTATATATCTATATCTACTCAGGTAGTGTATTTTATTTTAGAACAAGGTGACAATCGTCTACGAACAGAGAGACAGCAACTGCTGGTTACAGTACCATCTTCAGCTATAAATATGACAAATAATTCGTTCTTTCCTACAGGTATTGTTCTCCTTTTTGCACGACATATTTTCTTTTGTATATTATACTCGTTGAACTGCGTATTAAAGATGGATATGCATTGTGCGTGAGTAGTTTTCAGATATTATATGAAAGCTATTTTGCACATATGCCATTTCTTTTCATTTTTATTGATTCCTATTGAGTCTCTAAAGGTTTGCTTTTTAATTAATTAACCTTACATTTTGTTAATAGTAACAAGTCCCTTTATAAGATGTTTGCCTTTGTTTAGTTATAAATATTGTTCTTATTTATTTCTAGAGCAGGGGGACATTTCAGAAGTAGGTTCAGAAGAAAATACACGTTCCACTGAGCAAAGTTCTTTTGTATCTGTTGATGGTTTCCCAAGTTCTTTAAGCCTTCCTGACAATAGACACAGCAACATGCCGTTACCACGACAAGAAGGGATAAATCAACAAGATGACGTAGATCATTTACTCATTGAATCATTGAATTTGGATACCGTAGATGGGGCACCAAATATGAACAGATCCGATAATTTGAATGATGTTGATCTAAGTATTGATACTTCACCAGCTGAAACTGACAATCCTAGACCGGAAACTATTGGTGGAGATGCAAGTCCAAATATTTCTGGGAATACCGAAGTGAAAAACAACAGTGCGTCCTTCCTTGATGTTACAGGTGCTCAAGATGAGACGGATTTGAAATTACCTATGGCTAATGAAGATACATCTAGATTACCTGATCAACGTCGTTTGAACCTGATTTCAACAAAGAATTCTCCTGACTCCGGTTATACAACACCAATTGAATCCATCTCAAGGCCGATATGCCCCAACATTGAAAATCGGCCAGAAATCCAAACCGATGACCAAAACATAAAACCCCAAGATAACAGCTTAACTACCGGTAAGATTATGAAAGAATCATACAACTTAAGGCAATTTATTACCTTCACTTTACGTTACATTTAATTTTCATATTTTATACATTATGAAAAAGTCAGATTGTTATACAGACTTTCTTATAAAAAAAGCCATATATTAATAATTGTACACAATAAAGCTTCTAACTGTTAATGTTGACTCAAATAATACTCGGGTATACATGTAACAGTTACTGTTGATATTAACTAACACATTAAAATTTCAGATTCCGTTCAAGTTAAACTTCCATTGGCACAGTCTTCCTTCACATCAAATGTTATTCGACAATCTGCAGCTTCATTACCAATGACTGACGAGAATAAACCAAGAAGTGCATTGAGTAAGATTGGAGCCTTTTTGTCTTTAGCAATGGAATCAATTTCTAACTCCGACCTAGCATTTAAATGACGGTCATCAAGTGAATTGGGAAGAGTCTATTGTATCAGTCTTATACAAGAAACAATAAAATAAATCGGCATTAAGTATTCAAAATACAGATGGGCTAAACAATAATAATGCATGTTATAGAGTCAACTAAGATTTTACAGAATGTATATGTACAGCTGGAGAATTATCATTCGAAAGTTCGAAAGACCGTCTTAGGTATTGAATATGTATTACTTTGTTAATAAAATTGGGTAATCTATGCATCATGATTTAGGCAGTGTTTTTATTGTTGAACAAACGAGGACGTTGTTCAAATTAAATTTTCAACACGTTTGATTTTAGACACGATTTATGACGTTTTATTGATGCCCTTTTTACTCCCCTTGCAACAGCTTGTCTTGTTAATGTACAGTGTTCTGCTGGGAGTCATTAATGTTTTTATATACTCAACAAAATAATTAGAGGGTCAGATATTTAAACAACAACAAAAATATATATAAAATTATCCTAATGTATATTGATGAAGAGTTATTGATTACTTTATCAAAATACAGGGAATGTTAAGTTTATTTTAACTGTTTTCTTCACTTTGTCACAAATGTACCATTTTATACATAAAGGATGGAGTAAATCAATTCTAATTGTCATATCTATAAAAGTTCAACTCGGTACCTGTGTCTTCTTCATGCAAGAAGAACTGCTTGACATCGTCTTTTGTTTCGTGCTATTAATATGATCGCTGCGTCGTCGTTGTCGTCATGAATATACTTTAATGTAGCCATTACTCATACAATTTTACTTCAAAACTAAACTTTGAATACTTGCTTATTGTGACAAGAGGCAGTTGTTACTAATATGGCTTTCAGAATAATGTCAATGTGTAATTGGCATTATTCTGAAAGCCATATTTTTGGAGGTATGCCCCCCTTTAAATTAGAATCGTTGTCATAATTACTTTGGTATCACCATGAAACTTGGAATACCTATTTATCTTGACAAGGTACAGTTGACAACACAAGGACCCAGCACAGTGTTGGGATAGTGTAAAAAAGTAATTCTAGAAAAAATATGTACTGATTATATAATATATAGATTATATATATACGATATAAATTTTTTCTAGAATTTCTTTTTTACTCTATCTCAACACTGTGGTGGGTCCCTGTGGTTGAAAATGGAAATTTTTCCGAAAACTATAATTTCGAATTATTCCCTTTTAACTTCTAAGACGTTTTGTCAGCTGAATGATTTTAAAACCATGAAAGATATCAAAGTGGAACTTGAAATTCTTCATGATTGTGACAAAGCGTAGTTGTGAAACAAGGGACATTATCTTTAAAGCAATATATTAGAGTTACGCATCTTTTTAACTATTTGAAAAATATAAACATGAATCTTGGAATACTTTTTGCCATGCCATAACAAGGCACAGTTGAATGACAAGAAGCATTTTTCTGAAAGATATTTTTTGAGTTGTGAACCTTTGTTACTAAAATTGCTATTTTTTAAAACTATCAAAACTATCAACTTGTAAAGTCTTGATAATTATGACAAGGCACAGATGTTAGATGAAGCTCATTATCCGAAAGGAGTTATTCCTTTTGAAACTTAATAATATTTATTAAAATTGATCGTTCTCCTGTACCGTCGGGCTTTAAAACCACATGCGGTGTTCTTGTTAGCTCACCTGAGCATATGCTCAGGGTGAGCTATTAGGATCACTCTTCGTCCGTCGTCTGTCGTCCGTCGCCTGTCGTCCGTCGTACGTCGTCCGTCGTCCGTTGTCCGTTCACACTTTTGAAACGACATCTCCTCTGAAACCATAAGGCATATCATAATGAAACTTCACAGGGATGTTCCTTGTGTGAAGCCTTAACAAAGTTGTTCAAAGAATTCCATTCCATGCAGAACTCTGGTTGCCATGGCAACCAAAAGAAAAAAAGTTTAAATATCTTCTTCTAAAAACCCAAAGAGCTAGAGCTTAGATATTTGGCATGAAACATCTTCTGGTGAGTGTCTACCAATTTTGTTCAAATAAAAGCCCTGGGGTCAAAATTCGCCCCGCCCCAGAGGGTCATTGATTTTCCCTATATGCATATAGTAAAAGCTTAAAAAATCTTCTTTTAAAGAACCCAAAGAGCTAGAGCTAAGATATTTAGCATGAAACATGTTCTAATGGGTGTCTACCAAGTTTGTTCAAATAAAAGCAGTGGGGTCAAAATTGGCCCCGCCCCGGGGGTCATTGATTTTCCTTATATGTGTATAGCAAAAACTTAAAAAATCTTCTTTGAAAAAACCCAAATAGCCAGAGTTTAGATATTAAGCATGAAACATCTTCTTCTGAGTGTCTACCAAGTTTGTTCAAATAAAAGCCCTGGGGTCAAAATTGGCCCCGCCCCAGGGGGTCTTTGATTTTCCCTATATGCATATAGTAAAAACTTAAAAATCTTGTTTTAAAGAACCCAAAGAGATAGAGCTAAGATATTTAGCATGAAACATCTTCTAATGGGTGTCTACCAACTTTGTTCAAATTAAAGCCCTGGGCTCAAAATTGGCCCCGCCCCAGGGGGTCATTGATTTTCCCTATATGCATATAGTAAAAACTAAAAAAAATCTTCTTTTAAAGAACTCAAAGAGCTAGAGCTAAGATATTTAGCATGAAACATGTTCTAATGGGTGTCTACCAAGTTTGTTCAAATAAAAGCCCTGGGGTCAAAATTGGCCCCGCCCCGGGGGTCATTGATTTTCCTTATATGTGTATAGCAAAAACTTAAAAAATCTTCTTTGAAAAAACCATAATAGCTAGAGTTTAGATATTAAGCATGAAACAACTTCTAGTGAGTGTCTACCAAGTGTGTTCAAATAAAAGCCCTGGGGTCAAAATTGGCCCCGCCCCAGGGGTCATTGATTTTCCCTATATGCATATAGTAAAAACTTAAAAAAATTTCTTTTAAAGAATGCAAAGAGCTAGAGCTAAGATATTGAGCATGAAACATGTTCTAATGGATGTCTACCAAGTTCGTTCGAATAAGAGCCCTGGGGTCAAAATTGGCCCCGCCCCGGGGGTCATTCATTTTCCTTATATGTTTATAACAACAACTTAAAAGATCTTTTTTGAAAAAAAAACCCAAAAAGCTAGAGTTTAGATACTAAGCATGAAACATCTTCTAGTGAGTGTCTACCAAGTTTGTTCAAATAAAAGCCCTGGGGTCAAAATTCGCCCCGCCCCGGGGGTCATTTATTTTCCTTATATGTGTATGACAAAAACTTAAAAATCTTCTTTGAAAAAACTCAAATAGCTAGAGTTTAGATATTAAGCAAGAAGCATCTTCTAGTGAGTGTCTACAAAGCTTGTTCAAATAAAAGCCCTGGGGTCAAAACTGGCCCTGCCCCAGGTGTGTCATTGTTTTTAACTATATGTGTAAAGAAAAAAACTTAAAAAAAAATCTTCTTTTAAAAAACCCAACAACCTTGAATGTAGATGTTTAGCATGAAACATCTTCTAATGGGTGTCTTCCAAGTTTGTTCAAATAAAAGCCCTGGGGTTTAAACTGGCCCTGCTCCGGGGGCCTATATACAGGTGAGCGACTTTAGGGCCATCATGGCCCTCTTGTTTTACTTGGGGACCATACACAACTTTCCATGGAATGGCACTGTGTCACATTAACACATTTGCAGGTGTTGATAAATAAAAAATTTTAAATGGGGAATTTTGTTTAAACCAGTGCTAAAAAATATTTTCTAATATCGTCCAAAAACAGGCTTGGTGAAATCGAGCCTGCAACATTTTCAATTCGCCGTTTTGAACGTTCTCTAGTGATTACTTTTTTGTATTTTCTGATCGCAAGATCAGTAAATACAAAGCTAACATCCACGGTCTAACACAAAATGTCCTCACAGACCTAACAACGCAAAGTAGTTATCACTCAAAACTGCTTAAAAACCAGCAATTTAAAAGAAAGAATAATTTTCTGTACGAAATCTGCTGTGGTCATAGTATTATTTTTACAATAGGTTTATCTCTTAGATTTGGTTTGCTAAATTGCTAATCATGGTCATGCAACTATATAGTTAGGTGAAGAAGCAGGCGCTTGTTTTGGTTGAGTCTATTATTTTTTGTTTAGGGGGTTGAGTTGTCATACACAAATTTACAATTTATATGCATTTATTTTTTTCCAATGATTGTTATTATCTTAAATGCTTCTGGAATCGTTGTTTTATCAATTCATTTGTAAATAAGATTGTTATATGTGTATTAACGGAATAATTTTAATGAACACGAAATTAGTTCACACCTACATGTGTATTGGTAACGTGATGGTTTAAGCCAATGAAAACACGTCATTATTATACTCAGACAGAGAAAAAGTGTGCAAAGAGTAAATCGATTATCTTTATGTAGCCAGCAAACTTTGAATTGCAAGTATTTTTTCATATCTTTTCGGCAGGATAAACTGTCCGAGGATTCGTATCGTAAAATGGCTGCCATTTACAGTATCAAGTGATTATCCCAAGCACCACCGCGACTTAGCATGGGAATTTTAATTATAGCTAACCTCGGTGCGTATACCTTTTTCATATTTTATTGTAATAAATATTTACAAACTGTGTCTTTCGGTTTTTTTTATCAATATATAACCAATAATGATGTTAATATGAATAAATAATCATATCTCAAATCTTTGACGATGATTTACAATGAAATTCTACCTTTATTGTATTAAAAAGGTTTTTAATTTCCTGTAATTTTATTTTGTGATTATGCTTCAAAGCAGTCAATTGACCGTGGAGTTTCTTTTCATATTTTAATTTCCTTGAAATCATTTTTCTCATCTGAAGGCATGCAACTTTAGTATGGTGATACATTAATTACATTCCATGAAAATGTTTAAAGATATAAAATATCTCATGACATGTTTGTTCATTTTACATTACACCTTTAATTCAGCAAACATAAAGTCTTCACAAAAAGTAGTATGCAATCGTACCTATATTACATACGAATGTATGTAATATTTTTCTTGTTAATGTAGGCATTGAGCGAATTACAGTGCATAAAAAGTTTAGATTAGTCAGTAGAAATATGAGGTTACAATCACAAATTTCGCGGATGAATACCTTTTTACCCAATGAAAAATGTTTGACTATTTCCGTAAAGCTTAATCAATGAAAATGCTATTTTTAGCTATGTCGATTAGCGAATACTCAAGAGCGTAGTACACAAATAAATCTGACTGTCGAGTAGTGGAATATATACATGTCGGACTGTTTTGGCGAGAAGATTTTCGCTAAATTATTTTCATCAGTGTTTAACAACAGGTTTATCGTGAACAAAATACCTCGAAATTAATAAGGATTACAAACACGAAATGGAAATTCTCAATTTTAGATTTATAATGTATTTGTTTTTATTCAAGCCACAAACGTATTACTTCACCGTGGTGCAGAGGTAGTGCGCTCGTCTAGGGTGTGAGAGGCCTAATTAAGGTTCAAATCCTAGTCGAGGCAACATTTTTTTTGAAGTGTCTTTTTTAAGGAAGTAGCCACGATATGCAAGGATAAAGTGGGGCTGTCATAAAAAATGAAAAATGATTTTTTGATGTAACCCTAGGCATGCAAAATTCCATATGTATCAATCTCAAACTGTTTTAGAAAAAAATCTAAACGCAGTCGCTGCGTAAGATGAATTATAGTATATAAAAATAAACTTATACAGGAATGATCAGAAAATACCACAGAGCATGCAGCCCTTTGATTATATATATTTTGCCTGTGTAGCTGAAGAAATGTGGGACCTCAGTGAACGTTGCTTTCAAGTTGAAAGTTATCTTTCAGTATATATATGATTATATGAAAATACGCATTACATAAACAATTTCAGTGATTTTCAAAAACAACATAGTTTTCAATCCTCTCGCATTTTTTGAGATGTGTTGATACTTTTATACAAAGCCTATACATTATATATTTTTGTACATTTTTTATATTTTTATACTTTGTTTTTTAGACAATTCTACTGTTAAATTACCTTGTATTGGTATTTGTCATGTTTGTGCCATATTTATAATTGCAAAAGATTGTTTAAATTGACTGTTAAAACTGATGACACGTGACTCGTGCTGATAAAAAATCGTTGATAGATACATGTAACATCAGGGTATTTGCAATACTTCATTAGATAAAGGCAGCATTTGACCACCCATACCTATGTAAATTACCAGTATTTTGACTTGTTTTATCAAAATTGCTAAATGATGTAACACCTTATCCAAACCAGGGCAATTGTAACTTGTCCATGTATTTTCTTCTTTGATTATATTATAATATAAAATCATCAGAAAATATAAATTATAGAATATCTGTTTATTATTGAAACAAATAAATATTCTAAATATAACTACACTAAAATCGCCATTTGTTTTCATCATAGTAGAGACTCAACGATATTTTGTTAACATACTGTACATATAATTAGGTTTATAATATAATTGTTGAATGAAATAAATGTAGCACATTTTATTATAAGTTTATGTTCTCTTTCCAGTATTATACATGCCACAACACATTTGATGAACGTGTGTTCTATCCAAGACCATTGAAAAATGTTTATAAAATACAAATTTACAAGTCCCTGAACTGGTTAATTGTATATTGTTCTGTACTATTTTTGTTTAAAAAATCGAAAATCATTTGCATAATATTTGCATATCGCAAATATTGGCCGAACCCAAAGTACGATATTGAGAACACAGACTGATCAGTTTAATGAATTTTGTGACTTTTAATGACGATATGTTGTCATAGTTTACCCAGCTGTTTTGTGTTAAATATATTTTTGCAAATTAATGAAATTTTCATGGTAAACGGGTTAAAATGGATTAACCTCGCATTTCATTACAAGTGCTCAAAGTCTTTTCTACAATTCTTATAAGATGCGAAGTTCAGTATTAAAACTATATGTTGTAGTAATGGTTTATGGGTTTCATTTGGTTGTGTTTAACGGGTGCAGAATCCAATAAGCATTTTGTTATTTTTCCTTTATATCTTGTTATTAACTTTTAGCATGAATTGATAAAAAGTTATAGCAAATCACCAAATATTTAACATTTATTAGGTTATATAAATTTAAAATAGAACAAGCGACAGGCAATGTCATGTGTTTTGTTTTGAATACGAATGTGGCAGAGACTTTGATATAAATTTTAAACTACTCAGTCTTGATTGTTAATTTTTGTATTAAAAACAATGTAGACGAAATAAATATTTATTTAAACCAATTTTATTTAAACTTTATTTTCCAGTCTGCCATACAAATATGATTGTCTTGAATTATGGCAGGTCCAAATATTTTATATATTTTGTTTTGTTTTTGAAGCTGTTTATTATATTAAGTTGATAAGTTATAACTGTTTCATGCCATGATTTAGCAAAGTTTAACATATGGATGTGAGGTATGGGGTGTATATAATTACGAGATTTCGTATAAGAATCTTTATCTTCGAACTGCAGATATATTTTAGGAGTTAAAAACAAACACCAGGTTATGCTATTTATGGTGAGTTTGACCGGTTGACCGGTTTCCTTTGTCGGTTATTATTTAAGAACGATCCGTTAAATTTGACTTAAAATGAATTAAAAAAAACAATGATTTAAGTACATGTTATAATATTATTTATCATATGTTTAAAGATCAATATGACAAATTACCTGTGCATGTTCGGCTAAAAGAATGAATTCTTAATTTGATCATTTAGGATTTACTGATATAAAATATGAATTATTTTGATAAATTTATATATAAATAGGAAAAGAGACCAGTTTATCAAAGATTTACAGAAACGCTGTCAAAATTGGAAAGCTATTGTAAATATAAGACCGATTTCCAATAGACACTATAATATAGGGATGACTCTTACATATGTACAACTTAGCTATCATGTTCTTGAGGTAAAACAGGTAGATATTATATTCTGGAAGCTTTGAAACATATTAAATATATATTTCATTGAATATCATTTGGTTTAAAGTTATCCAATGTACAGAGCTATGAGATCAAAATATTATGATCAAAGGTCATGACCAGCAGTACAAAATATTTGTCTTCAAAGAATAGAAAAAACATATTAAATCTTATAAAATTCTTTATTTTAGTAGCGTCTTTTGGATGTGATCAGCCCGTTTTGCTGTTCATCGTGTATGGTATACGTCGTCAAAACGTGCTTTATTACTGTCTCCTAAACTTCCTGGCACTTACTTGTTGAATTCCTTAACGAAAGGGTATATTAGAGTCAGCTTGTCTGTCGGTCCGTCGGACGGTCCACGTCGTGCTTTCCGGACAGTAACAAGAGTTTGGAATGAGGTACCGGTATTGTAATCAAACTTGGTGTAAAGCTACCTTATGAAGAGACCCCAATTGGTATTGCATTTGGACCCCCTGGTGTCTAGGCCAAGGTCACTTTTATTAAAAATAGAAAAATGGTTTCCGGACAATAACTAGAGTAAGGAATAAGATATTGTAATCAAACTTGGTTTATAGCAAACTTATATGAAGATCCCAGTTGATATTGCATTTGGATCCAATGGGGTCAAAGTCACAGTTGCTAAAAATAGAAAAATGGCTTTCGGACAATAACTTCATTTTTCTATCAAATTTTGTGTATAGCAAGCTCATATGAAGACACCTGTTGGTATTGAATTTTGACCCACTGGGGTCAAGGTCAAGGTCTTTATTACTAAAAATAGAAAAATTGTTTCCGGACAATAACTTGAGTTAGGAATGAGATATTTCAATCAAACTTGGTGTATAGCAAGCTTATATGAAGACCCCGGCTGGTACTGCATTTGGACCCCCTGGGGTGAAGGTCAAGGTCACGGTTACTAAAAATAGAAAAATGGTTTCCGGACAATAATTAGAGTTAGGAATGAGATTTTGTAATCAAACTTGGTGTAAAGCAAGCTTATATGAAGAATCAGGTTGAGAATGCAATTAATTGACAGTCGATACATCATTTACTATAGGTTGAGTTCAAAATTTTCTTCAGACCACTTATTTTTCAAAAAGTCAAAGTTGGTGGTTGGAATATTAATCACCTTTAGTAATAGGTCTATTTTTATTTGTTTTGTTTTTGAAGAGGATTAGATTACAATTCAACAGTGTAAATACCACAGAAAACTGTACATTTTAGGACTGTTTTAACGTCTTTTTCGTTTTTTACCCTTGCATACAAGCCTAATATTCACTTGCATAGTTGTGAACAGAATGACCTGCTTTAAGTGTCGTGTCTGATTAATTTTTCTTCTTCAAACAACTGCTAGCGGTAACCCAATTCCCAAGTACGATATAACTTGTTTGAGTACAGATACAAAACATCTAATAATAGATTTTCAACATAAAATGTATTTTATTGTCCTTCATAAATCTGATTTGAACGAGGGAGCGTAGCCACCGAGTATAAATCAGATTGCCGAGTGTTTTGATGTTCTTTCTCTTTTGTATCATAGTCAAACATAAAAAACACGTTCCCTGATACCGCAATATGAAACCCCACAAAAAAGTAACCGATGAACGAGCATCTGAATATGATATTTCCATCGATATCCCTTTCTCTGTCTTTCTCGTGTTTCGATGCTCTTTCTATTAATTTACTTAGAATATATAATGTTTTATTATATGAACAACTTGTATATGTCGAAAATCGAAAAGAGGAAGTACATGTTTATCGCTTTGATTCAGTTATATAAGGTCGAAAATGATTCGTCACTTTATCTTATCTTTCGGTCACAAAGACCAATCTCTCATTACGTAACGTTTAATCGAAACGAAAACGAAAGTAGTATTTTTTAACAGTGCAAATATCAAACTGTCGTTGTTGTAACACTGACTTCCAATATTACTTTCAATATGACGAAGGAAAGCTATAATTGTTATTTAATATATAATATAAATGAAGGTGACGGGACTAATGATAGTTCACTCGCTACCAGTTTTGTTTACTATTTAGACAAGAAAATATGTGGGTGGGGTTTTAAATGCTACATTGAAGAGAGGGACTGTTTAGGAGGATCAAACGTGTTTGATGAACTGTTTAAGAAAGTGTCAGAGACAGAGACATATTTAGTTATTATAACGTCAGAGTTGAGCGAAAATTATTGAGCTAAATTTTGCAAACAAACTGTGTTTATGAACTTGTTACACGAGAAAAAAAACAACACAAGATGATTCCAATCACTCTTAATATCAGTGATACAGGATCACTGAAGGAGTTGAATGTCAATGCCGCTATTCATATAAAAGGATCAAAAACAGAGGAATGGGACAAAAACAACGAAATGAGCTGGCAAAGACTGAAAAGGGTATGAGATATCGATCGTGGACCGGAATTTCAAGTTTTATTACTATTTAGATAAGATATGGTTATAAATCTTAAGAGAATGATAGATAGACTTACATAAATTACAAAGGCTTATAAACACTTAAGAAACACATTTATCTTGCTGCCACGGTAGAGATGACACACTATATGTATCAAATGACAATACAATAAATGCTTAAAATAAAATGATTTAATAACATAAAGTATTCATAGAATATTGAATTTTTAATGGAATATCCCACTTCTTTCGAAAATTCTTTGCTTTATCAATAAACAAAAACTTGTTATCTAGCAAGTGAAAATAGTTGATTTTAAATATTCAATGTGTTTGTATACAATATTGAATTTTGTTACAATAAACAATGTGTATTCGTTTAGTTGATTTCTGAGATATCAACAATAACTACAATATGTAGAAAATCAGTCTTTTAAACTAAGCACATAATTATTTAACATATTTTTCCTAACAAAGGGCCTCCCAAGTATGGTCTGTGGTAGTATGCAATCGTTGATGTCTATGTGTCAAAGTACATTTGTAATAAGTATCCTTAGTGAAAAAACAAAATTTCTTCAAATCCAAGAAAATAAATTTCTTTATTTTCAGACACTTAAATAGAGAAGGATAAAGGTATGTTGGATTCGAATATAAGTTGAGAGATATTTCAGTAGAATCAAGTTTTAGATAAAAATGATAAAATGAGTAGTACACGTGTAAGTATAGAAATCATACCTACTCGTTAGTCTATGTATTATTGTTTTTTTGTCACCATTAATTTTAGTGCCTCGTCAAATCCGATATTTCAGAAAAGATGCAAACTAAACAGGAATCGCAAATTTAACGATGACTTTAATTTATATATCTATATCTACTCATGTAGTGTAGTGTATTTTATTTTAAAACGAGGTGACGAAGAGAGAGACAACAATGCTGTTTACAGCTACAATTATGTCAAATATTCCTTTGTTTTCTTCAGGTTTAACTCTTCTCCTATACCGCCTCCATGGTCGAGGGGTTAGAGTCGATGAATAGCTCTCCGGCGTGGGTTCGATCCCCGGGAGATGCTTTGGTAGTTTAGCGCGGATGAAGGCTAGTACTGGTGTAACTCTCCAGGAACGATGGTTAGGAAACTACCCGCATATATGTCTGAAATACCGTTGGGAAAAGGCGTAAAATGAAACAAAAAAACAAACAAACAAAAAACTCTTCTCCTTTTTACACTACACATTTTCTTTGTATAAACTGTGACTTTAGGACGGTTTTGCATCATGTGTGAGTAGTTTTGAAATATTATTTGAAAGCTTTCTGGCTTTTCTCGATTTCTTTTCATTTTCATTGATGTCTACTGTGTCTCTAAAGGTATGCTTAATAATTAACCTCACAGCTTTGTTAATAATTACAAGTCCCTTTAAAATAAATGTTTGGCTTTCAAATATCCAAATATTGTTCTTATTTATTTCTAGAGCAGGGCAACGTTTCAAAAGTAGGTTCAGAAGAAAATGCACGCTGTTCAACAGAGAAATCATCTTTCAGCATTCCTGACAAGAGACACAGCAACATGTCGTTACCACATGACAGTCAAGAAGAAACAATAAATCAACTAGACAATAAAGAATTAAAAATAAATACTGTAGATAGGGCACAAAATATGAGCAGATTCGAGAATTTGGATGATGCTGACCTAAGTATCGATACGGCATCAGCTGAAACTGACAATCCTAGACCGGAAACTATTGGTGGAGATGCAAGTCCAAACATTTCTAGGTCTAAGAATTCAGACCTTGATGTTACATCTCCTCAAGACGAGACAGATTTGAAATTACATGATCAACGTCATCTGAACCATATTTCAGAACAGAATTTTCTTGACTCCGGTTATACAACACTATCTGAATCCATCTTGAGGCCGATATGCAACATTGAAAATCGGCCAGAAAACCAGACCGATGGCCAAAAGATAAAACTACAAGAGAACAGCTCATTTACTGGTAAGAATACAAAAGAATCATACAACTGTAAGGCAATTGTTTACCCTTTTTTACTTTACATTTTAGTTTTATATTTTCTACGTTATGAAAAAGTCAGATTATTATACAGCATTTCTTATTAAAAATTTGGAAACAAAGTGATCCCTCGCAAACATTTAACACAACAAAATTAAAAGAGAATTGCAGACTCGGTTTGATTGAGTCTGTACATGAGGGATAATGAATACGTGCAACATCCCTCACGCCCCCTAGCACCGACTTGAGCGGTACTCAATTCTCAACACTTAATAGTTCTGGCTTCAAGCATCCCGAAGGACCAGAAAAATATAACAAAAGCCTTATTTTTATTAATTGTACTTTAATTTGATTGTAATTTATTAATGTTGACTCAAATCAATACATGTATTTTGTCTCGGATATGCATGTAACAGTTCCTGCCGACCTGAACTAACACATTAAAATTCCAGATTCCGTTCAAGTTAAACCACTATTGGTGCTGTCTTCCTCCACATCAAATGTTATTCGACCATCTTCAGCTTCATTTCCAATGCCTTACAAGAAGAAATCAAGAAATACATTGAGTAAGATTGGAGACGTTCAGTCTTTAGCAGTGAAATCCTTTTCTAACAGCGACCTAGCATTTAAATGATGGTCATTAAGCGAATTAGGACGGTGTTTTGTATCAGTCTTGTACAAGAAACGATAAAATAGGTCGACATCAATTATCCAAAATACAGATAGGCTCAACAATGATGTATTTCATAAAGACAACTAAGATTGTACAGAATCTTTATGTACAGTTGGAGAATTATCATTTTATGACGGTAGTATTGAAAATGTATTACTTTATAAATAAGATTGGATAATCTATGCATCATAATTGAAGCAGTTGTTTAAGTTATACAAATCGGGACGTTGTTCAAATTCCATTTTCAACACACTTGATTTAAGACACGTTTCCTGACGTTTAATTGATGCCCTTTTTCGCTTCCCTTGCAACATATTGTCTTGTTTATGTACAGTGTCCCGCTGTGAGTCATTCAAGTTTTTATATACTCAACAAAATCATTAAAAGATCAGTTAGTAAAAACAACAGTTGATCATACATTTGTACCGTTTTGTACACAATGGGTGGGATAAATAAATTTTAAATTGTCATATCTATAACTCAAATTTCCACAAAAATTTCAATTCAGTACAGCATGTGCCTTTTTCGTGGTATAATAACTGCTTGGCATCGTCTTTTGAAGCTCTCAATCAACTTTCTAAGTTCAGTATGCTGACTCCTTTTCCAATTCTGTTCAGCTCACCCACTGTCTGGTTGGTTGTTTCGGTCTGATCATCGACGTCTCTGTATGTTCCATGCATCTTCTAATAAATTTTAATCCAGAGACCATGCGTTTGGTTCCTTCCTGTCCAGGTACTCGATTACCACCAAGGAGCGATGAGGTCTGGCGTTATCATCAATTAGAACAAGGTTTAGTCCTATCGCTGTGGCGAAAGGCCTAACAATATTGATAATTATCTCGTCTTCACGGCAAATCTAAGAAATGCTGGTCCATATCAAGACTGATTCTTCCTAAAACGATCATGCTCCATCACAGAACAGAACCGTTGGTTGCTAGTTCTCCACGCCCGTCTGCTTCCATCATGAAAGTCTTAAAGTAGAATTAAGATTTGTCTGTTTTGGAAATGTTACGCAAACATTGACTTCCCAAGCATTGACATGCCCCACAGCAGCATCCTGAACGCCCTCTGTTTGCGTGTTGATATTTTTGGTCAAAACAATTATGTTTTCTTTTATATTTTTTTATAATTTTTGATCATGTTGCTTTGACAATAAATCTGATGTGTAAGACTCTCTGAAAATGCTTTCAGTATAATTTCTTTCAAAAAACACATTTATTTTAATCCCTTGTCAAAACAACTAGTTGTTCTATTGAAATGTTTGCATAAATTAAAGTGTGACTTATAAATGTTCATAATGGTTTGATTCTTTAATCATTTTTTTGAGTTTTTTTTCGTTCGGTCGTTTGACAACTTGTATGTAATATTCAGGGATCATATTATCTGTTTTACTTTAAAAATCCCATTTTATTATATTTAGCTTTGCTCATTGTTTTCTCGATAAAAGCACACCCATTTTAGCTCGTCTGTTTCGTGAAACGTTCGTGCTATGAAATGATCGCTGTGTCATCGTTGTCATCATGCAAAGACTTTTTAATGTAGCCCATTACTCAAACAATTTGAAAGGCATCAATTTGAAACTTTGAATACTTGCTTATCATGACAAGTGGCAATTGTAACCTATTACACATGGGAATTATTTTGAAAGCCATATTTTTAGTGAACGTCCATTTTAAACTAGAATTGAAGTCAAAATTGCATTTAAGTAATGATTTCAAAACTATAAATGGCATCACCATGAAACTTGGAACGCCTATTTATCTTTACAAGGCACAGTTGATAAACAATTGGCAGTATTCCGAAATATTCCATGTTTTAATTTCTAAGCTGTTTTGTCAGCAATGCTTATAAAGTTGAATGATTTCAAAACTATAAAAGATTTCAAAGTGGAACTTGGAATCCTTCATGATTATGAGAATGCGCAGTTGAAAAACAAGGGCCTTTATCCTGAAAACATTATATTAGAGTTATGCATATTTTAAACCTAGAAAAAATGTCTTTTAAGTAGAATGATTTAAAAATTTGAAAGATATCAACATGCATATTTGAATACTTATCGTCATGACATAACAAGGCAAAGTTTAAACACAAGAATTAGTGGCATTATTCTGAGAGATAGTTTTTTAGAGTTGTGCCCCTTTGTAACATAAATTTTTTATTATAATCGCTATTATCGACTTGTAAATCCTTGATAATCATGAAAAGGCACAATTGTAAAACAATGGTAATTATTCCAAAAGCTAAATGTTTAGGAGATATTCCTTTTTGAAACTTTTAATATGCATTAAAATTAATCTCTTGCTTTAACACCGCATGCAGTGTTTTTGTTTTACTTGAGGACCATACACCACTTTAAAAGAGTTGTCACTTATTTGTCAAATTGAAGGTTTCATGATATCCGCTGTATGAACACATCTACGGATGTTTCTAAATTCATAATTTTACCAATTAATGTTAAATGTGAAAATTCTGTTTAAACCCGAGCTAAGCCTAACATCAACATTTTCAATTTTGTAGTTTTGAACGTTCTCTAGGAATTACCTTTTTATATATTTTGCCTGTGTAGCTGGAGAAATGTGGGACCTAAGTGGTGGCGTTACGGAAACGTTGCTTTCATGTTGAAAATTACCTTTCAGTATATATAAGTATCTGTTGATGATACGAAAATACACATTACATAAAAAAATTGAGTAATTTTCATTACCAACAATAAACATAGTTTTCTCTCTCACTGTCTTCAAATAAAGACATAAAAATTCTCTATAAATCTATCCACATTTAAATGCATTGATACTTTTATATAAAGGCTTGTTAAGAATATTTCTGTACAGAATAGTTTTGTATTTTTATAGTTTGTTTTTAGACGAAATTTACTGTTTAATTACCTTGTATTGGTAATTTTCATTTTTATGTCATATTTTAAATTGCAAAAGAGTGTTTGAATTGACCGTTGAAACTGATGACATGTGCTGATAAATTATTGTATAATATCATCAGAAAAAATATGTATTCATTATCTTAACTCAACTCGCCATTAGTTTATATCATTGCAAAGACTTAACGAATATTTTGTTTTCATACTTAACATATAATCAGGTTATATGAGATCATTCTTGATCTATAATCGGAAATAAATGTAGTACAATTTATTATAAGTTTATATTCTAATGACATGTCTTTCCCTTTCCAGTGTTTGATGAACATGTGTTCTATCCAGGTTTTCAAAATACAATGTACTTTTTTATTCCTGAACTGGTAAATAGCAAATCGTTCTGTTCACCCAAGGCGATGTATTTTTCGTTTTAAAAAAAAATTGAATATCATTTGCAAAATTATTTGCATATCGAAAATATTGGCGAACCCAAAGGACGATATTGTGAACTCAGTTTAAATAAATTTTGTGACTATCAATTACGATGGTGTCATGTTTAACCCAGTTGTTATTGTGTGAAATATTTTTGCAAATTAATGAAATTTTCATGGTAAACGGGTTAAAATGGATTAACACCACATTTTGTTACAAGTGCTAAAAGTCTTATCTACAATTCTTAAAAGATATATGTATTACATTTTTGTATTAAAAACATGGAAGACGAAATGTTTTTTGGTATTGAAAACATGGAAGACGAAATAAATATTTGTTTAAATCAATATGTAGCATTCTTTATTTTCCAGTCTGCCATACAAATATGATTGTATTGAATTATGGCAGGGCTGAATATTTTTATATCGTTTTGTTTTTTAGCCATGTATTAAGTTATTTACATAACTGTGATACCATGATTGTGCTCATATTGAAATATGGATGTTAGGTATGGGGCTTATATATAATTACGAGATTTCGTATAAAAATGTAGATATCTACATCTTCAAATTTGTAGATATATTTTAGGAGTTAAAAAACCAAACACCAAATTATGCTGTTTGTGTTGAGATGGACCGGTTTCCTTTGTCAGTTATTATTAACAAAACGTTCTGATAAACTTCAGTTTAAAATGACAGAAAAACAATGATTTAATATATATATGATTCGAGTTGTTCCTCTGGTTACAGCTCTATCCCAAAAATATATATATTGCCCGATATTTATCCACTTTTTCATTTTTAAGTATTTAAGATGTTCGTTTCTAGTACTTGTGATACAAAGTATTTATTGTGACAAACAGACATTTCAAAAGGATGATTTCTGTTCAAAAGTATGAGATTCTGTTAAATGTAGCGTTTATCTCCCTTTTTCCAGAACTTTATAGAAAACTAGAAGAAAAGAAGCGGCTCACATATATTTTCATTTCATCCACTATAACTCTGTACAATTTCTTGATTTCACTATTGGGAGAAATTATATATTGTAACGAGAATCACAAAAGTATCAAAATACACGTCTTTATTTTCAAACGTTATTGTAAAGAAAAGGTAAACTTGCGAATGATCTATTCATGTGTTGGAATTAATTTTTTAATATTATCAAATTAAAAAATTCCCTTTTTGAAAAGATAACGCATAATTTCAGTTTCTGAGTAAGGACTGATAGCCAATTATACTAGTGCAAAATTCAAGGATTTTGCTTATTAATTAGCCACAAACTTTCTCTGTTTACGAATAGTCGTTCTATTTCTTTGGAACCTCAATCAAATAACATAACATGTGACAATACAACGGGATAGGTACTGTTACACAAAGGATGGATCTAATAACTGTCTCCTGGAAAACGTTACGGATTTTATCAGAAAACGCGTATATATACCGAAGAAACACTCGAAAAAATGGGTTATTTGCATCTTTATAAAGAGAGATTGAGGCTCTAAATTACACTTGGAAGATTCATCTTGCCTTACATGCTGTTTTATGTGTCAGAGTAAAATTTCTTTCGTACATATTGACCTGTTCATTTTTTTTATTTTATTCCTTGCCATACTTAATTACCTAATTCTAACATAAATCCTCGGCTAACAAATTTATGTCCGATTTTTTTATGATTTATACATTATTCTTAGCATTTTTAGAGAACATTAAGTACTTGTAACAATGACATCGCTCTGAAGTAGACAAAATTAATGACATGAATATGGTTTGCAACAAAATATTATGAAGTATGCACTACATGTATGTTATCTTCAGATAAATCGGTTCATATCAATGTAAAAACAAAGGAATTATGGAAGAAAACGAACTTTTCAGCCGTTAATAAGCTAAAACGGTCGGGAAACCCCACGGTATCTCAAATTTGCTGGTCTACTCTCTATATCTAAATTAGTTGGATTTACATTGGATAGGTTACTTTAGATATGCAGTAGAATTTAATTGTATAGAATCTATTGTTTGTCCCAGCATAAATTCACCAAGTTTACAACTCCTGCAATCACTATTCAAAATAACATGGTATAGAACTTTTTAATTTTCAATATTTGATGCAGAGCATAAAAAATATATAATATCATGACAACACTTCATCTCTGTCGACATAAAATTGGGCGACATGCACAAGCTCAAAAATATTGATAGAGCAATTGAACGCAGACTTCTGAAAGAGTTGGCTCTTTTGTTTACTAGGCTTAAAATATAAGCGCAGAAAACAGTTTAAAAGCTGTGCAATCATTTAATTAAACTAACGTCACGTAACACATTAATTCAAATAGTAAAGAATACAATAAATTACATTTTCTAAGTAGAAAAGCTTTTTAAAGGAAATTTACAATAAACATCCTCCTTAGGGGCCGTCAGTAAACCAGTTTAAACAATTACTTTCTGAACTCTGCATCACTAGACCTATACGTTCATCTGAGAGCCATCCCCATACGCACATTTCGTAACCCAGGCTTCTGGCCTCCAGCATATCTTCAGGAGAAGCTATGTCACCTCCTCTCTTCTCCTTACATGCTTTCTTCGCCTCCGTGAAGTTGAGCGAATATCTACCATTTTCTCCAATCACATAGCAAACTTATAATAAAGAACAAATAACAATAAAACATATCAAAATGACACTTTTGATGAAATAATTCAAAATAAATTACAATGGCATGAATTTTTTTAAAATGTAGATTGAGTAAAGTAAATATGGTAAAGTAAGTAAAATAAAGTAAGTAAAGTAAAGTAAGTAAGTAAAAAAATAGTAAAGTAAAGTAAAGCCAAGTAAAGTAAAGTAAGTAAAGTAAAGTAAAGTAAAGTGAAGTGGAGTGAAGTGGAGTGAAGTGAAGTGAATTAAGTAGTTAAATAAGTAAGCTAATAAATAAACTAATAATAAGCAGAACAAAGTTAAATATATATCAGAGCTTATTGATGAATCAATATCTATATTTATGATAGTTAAAGTTACCTACACGGGAAGCGTATCTTTGTCATTGTCTTCCAGTTAGATATTACAACCAACTCAGTCGGCACTTGTTCATGTGGATGATCATTTGTTTGATCAATGTCCGACAGAAGGCAGTAGTTTTCTTCTAAACTCCAGAACACCGTTATACAACCCTCTGTGGCCGAACAGTCGGACAAACACGAAAGTGCTGTCCGCGAGGAATACTCAGCACTGACATAAATTTGTTTAACTTTCACATCATTTCGCTCCCAGTACTTTGAATTCTGTATACCGGAAGCATTAATTGCATTACATATAAAAACTGCAAATAATACAACAACACGTGCATACATCCCTCAAAGTAAATAGAGAAATGGTCCTTAAAGTATTAATATTTTCTCTTCCTATGGGATGAAATTTGTTTATGTCACAGTTAAAGTAACACAATATTTTGGATTGAACAATCTGACGGCTTATCGATGTCAGCCGTTTTCAGAAGTATTGATTTACCAAGTATCTAAAGAATAAGCTCGAGAATTTTTTAATAGTAGCTCAATTTATGTTATAGTAAGAAAGAAAAGGAAAATTAAAACCGATTTTTAAGCTTTTACAAGGTTCAAATCCATTACTACAAATTATTTTAATTGCACAGTCAACAAATTAAATACTGAACAGTTTTCCTGTTTGTTCTATATACACAACATGAAAAGAATAGAGTCCACCATCAAAGCGAATATTTTCATGTATCCACACTATTTCTGTATTTTTTACTGTACGTTTGATAACTGGTCAGATAAACTAATTGTACCCAAAAATTTTAAATCCTTGCTATGAGTTTTTTATGCATGACCGATTGATCTATGTAATCTGCGCATTAGCAATTTGTTACCGGTATGATGAAAATCAGTTTAATGCGTATAGTTATAGCATTTGAAAGTACTCAGACAGCCCTTCGCGGCATGCACGTCGCTCGGAGTGAATAGGTCAGACCAGACGGGTGTCTTAGTAAGGTCACTTTGCTAGTGTGACCTAAGTAACGAAGTAGGGTGTAGCTCCACAAAGATGCTGCTGCCTTCCGGAAAAGGTGACTTTCCTTCGCTCTGAGATGCGAAACATTTGATCCTTGGGAGAATATCTCTATTACGATAGACGACTTGAGAAGTTCACCATCGCGGCTCTACGACCAGCGACTTAAGAGAGGCCGATAGTGAAATTAGATATAATTACAATATACAATGTATACGAAAAACAATTGGATTTGTAGCATCGCGAAATTGTACATTCGAACAGAAAACTATGTAAATGGATATACACTTTATAGCTCCCTTCTATTTCAGTTTACAGTTGTTTGAGATGTTTGTTTAAATCAAAATTAAATTATCAAAACCATCTCTTTCTTTTGATGAACTAAGAAGCACTTCCGTTGTTTATCCTAAAACTGAAAAAAGCAATGTCTGCCTTTATTTCTTCAACCTTGTAATGCATTCTAGATAACACATTGTACCCTCATTGACGAGTTTCCTTTTTAAAAGGACTCCTTTCATTGTCAATTACACATCTAATACATTAAGCCGGTGGTATGGGTTGCGGACATTAGGTTGCACTTTTCAGTACCGGCCATAAAAGTTTCAGTCAAACCGAGCCTGAAACATTTCTTATTTTGTCGTTTTGGCCGCTCTTCAAGGATTCCTTTTTTCCCTATTGCCAGTGTATGGGGGTGGCAGCTGAGAGATGTTTCTAAAAATTATCAGTTAGTATATATTTAAATCTGTTTATGACATGGAAAACATGCATGACATAAATAATTTGTGTCATTTTCGTAACCGACAATAAAAACTGTTTTTCTTCCACGCTGTCTAAAAATCAAGTGTAATTGCTCTTTTAATCTTGCCAAATGTTTTATAAGACGTATCAATACTTTATTCTAAAACTTTCTTATTGATATACATTCGTGTACAGTATATTTTTTTTATGTATTTTGACTTTAGATGATTATAACAAAAAATTATATATAAACATCTTAAACATCAGGATAATTGCCATACTTCGTTAGATTAGGAGCAGTATTTACTCACCAATAGTGAACAGAATGACATTTCTTTAAGTTTTATGCCTGATTTATCTGGGTTTTTTCTTCTTCAAACGGTAACTCGGAAGATTTTCCAAATACGAAATAACACCGTGTATATCCAGTAACGCAGGAATGTGAAAATAACGCACGATTCGTGCAAAACGTAAAGCAGAATTGTGAAATAAATGGCGGATAGCTGGCAAGATTTCCAACGCGGTAAGTAAACTGGTCAATATATTCTTTGTTAAACCAAACTGAAAAAGGAATATCCCCATCAAGAGTTTTTCCACGAAATTGCTTACGTTTCAAGATCATTCGTGAAAATGATTGCTTGACGACCGT